TGCAGGGAACTACACGCTACAAAATGACCAACTCAAAGGGCTATCGTCGCGGAACCCGAGACATGTTCTCTCGCCCCTTCCGCAAGCATGGTGTGATTCCTCTGTCCACATATATGCGCGTGTTCAAGATTGGAGACATTGTCGACATCAAGGGACACGGTGCTGTGCAGAAGGGTCTGCCTTACAAAGCCTACCACGGCAAGACCGGCCGTATCTTCAATGTAACGCAACATGCCGTTGGTGTCATTGTAAACAAACGTGTGCGCGGCAAGATCCTAGCCAAGCGCGTTAATGTGCGCATCGAGCACATTCACCACTCAAAGTGCCGTGAAGATTTCCTGCGTCGCGTGAAGGAGAATGAGCGTCTGCTCAAGGATGCCAAGGAGAAGGGAAAGTGGGTTACCCTGAAGCGTCAGCCTGAGCAGCCAAAGAAGGCGCATTTCGTCAAGAAACTGGAGGAGCCCATCGCCCTGGCACCAATTCCATACGAATTCATTGCATAAGCTCAGAAAAAAACGAATTGTTTTTGCTATTTGTGTAGATCCGTTAATTGAGTGCAAAAAATAATTGATTTTCTATACAACTGTAAACAATGCATTTTCTGGTTGGGAAACAAATTTACGAAGGGGCATCACTCTTCGATAAACAGCTGCTATCGATTGGTTACTTCTTATCGAGCTGCATTTTAGGAACAATGAACTCTAATACGTGTGAAACTTGTGGAAAGCAATTCGGAAAACCTACCTTCTTGCGCCGGCACCAAGTTGTGCATACCAAAGAGAAGTCATACGCTGTGAGTGGATATGCATTTGTACAATTTACATTGTGCATGTTGGCCTCTTCTCTTGTCTCTTTTAGTGCGACGCCTGCTCGCTCTGCTTTTCCCAGCAGAGTTCGCTACAGCGTCACAAAAGCATAAAGCATGCAAAACGCGAAGCAAATGAAGATACTGACCTGGTCGCACATCAAGCCTTGAGTGCTCTTCTCGACTTGCAGAGTGGAATGAAATCTTTAGCTAAAACACAAAACATACCTGTGCAATGTGGCAACCTGCAAACCACTATGGAAGAGCAGCCACAGTGCAGCATTGTAGAAATTCTGGATAAATTGGATCCTACAGGGCAGGTAACAGCCTTAACCGTTCAAAGAATACAACGAACCCCGAATAGATGCTATTATGTCTGCGAGTTTTGCGCCAAAGAATTTTTCAAGTCCTACGATTTAATCAGGTAAGAGCTTGAACTTGCTGCAGTGGAACTCTAACAGTAAATATACAGTTCGCAGACATCGACGCTCGCACACCAAGGAAAAGCCATATCCATGTCCCTCATGCCTAAAACGTTTCTCCACAAAAGCCAAGTTAAATGAGCATCGAAAGCGAATGCATGGTAAATCGAGTAATTGCCAATTGAATAAGAAACAGCAGAAAAGTACTTCCAGTAGGAGCTACAAATGCGTTTACTGTAATAAAATCTATAAAGGAAAGTTCAACTGCCGCCGTCATATGTTGACGCATTTAAGCCGCTCTTCAAAGCCAGACAGCCCGCCCTGTGGGAAAAAGACTTCACTGAGGAACTGCCTTGAGTGTGGAAAAACCTTAAGGAGTACACACGATTTATCCAGACATTTACTAACACACACCAATATAAAATCCCACCAGTGCCACCACTGCCAGAAGTCCTTTAAACTTAAATCGACGCTCGCCAGGCACTTGGCAACACATCTCAGCTCTGCTCAGCGACTTTCGGTTAGCTGCCAAGTTTGTGGCAAGTTGTATGGCTCCAAGTCAGCTCTACAGATTCACCTGCGTCTTCACACCGGCGAGCGCCCGTTCAAGTGCGAGATCTGTCAGCAAACATTTCGAACTTCGGGCCACAGGATCGAACACATGCGAGCCGAGCGACATCGCGCAATCCCTCCATCATCACTCATATAATAAATACCAATTGCAAAAGTATATTTCAACTTTATCAATACTATGTGCATCACAACATTATGTATTAAAGCCCGGCGAAGTTCCGTAATGGAAGTGCTTGTCGAACTCCTGGCTCTTTGAAAGTTCATTCAACTTCTGACGTTTGTCTGCCAGTATAAAGTCATCTTCCTCAACCATTTCAGAGTCGCCACGCTTGCGGCGAAAGGTTTCTGTCGCGGCACACTCGTCCATATCATGCGCCTTATAGACTAGATAATTGGGCTCAATATATTTGTTCGATCTGCAAACAAAAAATGTAAGAGCGTGTGAAGAATGGGCATTGATTGGTACTCACAATTTCAGCAAATAAGGGTCAAAGGGGAAAAATGTTTCTAGCGTCTCCTCAGGCATAGCCTTGTCATGGCCATAAACGGTGGCCAGCTTACGTCTAGCGTTACGCTCCAAAACTGTGTGGCAATAGGCCAGCTGATGGGTGCGCGTCACTCCAGCAAATGCAGTGGCCACTGCTGGTAGACAGTAACGCAAAGGATTCAAGTGGCACATGGCAATGCGGGAGAGGGGAATCAGTTGCAGGTAGTGCAAATCTATAATACAAAATAAAGAAAGTTAAGTCAATTGTACATGGAAGATTATTTAAAGCCTTACCCTTTGTCAAGTCTTTAGCCCGAAAGGCAATCAAATAAAATATAGCCTGGCAGACGGAAAAGAAAACCATGTTGGCCTTTAACGAGCCATTTTGGCTGCTGTACTGGTCTGAATCTCCTATGTAGCTATTCGCCCAGTTGCTCAGCTCGTTGAGATACATTTTAATTGTGCTACAAAGATAGAATATTAATCATCTGGGATCCAAAAGTTGTACTCGATTTCTTACCTGAGTGGCACAAATCTAGCGCGAGCTAAATAGCTGGCCATGTAGCCAACAGCAGCGTGTCGTATAATGGCTGAGACGTTTGGATTCTGCACTTTTAACCAGAGCGAGCTTAGAAAATCTTCAGAATATGAAGGGCGTATGCTGCACGCTTGAAATATGACAAATTGCACATGATGGGTATTGTGACTGGGCAGTAAAACCTCATTAAAGATGTATAACAGCGTCTTGAAGAAGCGACTGGCAGCCCAACGTTCCTCCTCGCTGAATTCGGGCTGAATTCTAGTTTTACCATCTATAAACTTGAAAAGTATAGACAGACATGTGTCCAGTGTGTGTCCAATGGGATGCAGAACCGAATCTTCCGACTGCTTGACCACAGTGTCAGCGGTTACATCCTCAATGGTAAAGATGCCATCTTCGTCCATTTTGTCTGCTTCCTCCTCCTCTGTCTCGACGATCTCATCCCTTGGAGCATTCACATCCAATATTAGAAGTCTGCAGAATCGGAATAAGGGATACTCATAAATGAAAAATTTGCACAAGTTAATTACTTACTTCTGCAAGACCAGCTGCAAAACGAGCTCCTCAAACATTGGTTTATACTCTATTAACCAGAGAACATTGTAAAGATAGCCAGCTGTAACATGCGCTGGTTTCTTGAAGTAAGGAAATTTACTAGATATTGCCTCAATAACCACATCAAATGCCATGGGCACAGCGGTCAAAATACGGTTGAGGATGTCATGAACTGTTTTCAGCTCAGTGCGCGTTTCTTCCCCTGGACATCCATTGACCCAGTCGGCAGCTTGCAGATCACCTGGAATCCAGTTGACAATACATTTTGATATACCCATGGGTATATATGTATTGTGGGCCACCATAATATCAACGCTGAATTCTGTGTAAGCGGCAACGACTTCGGGCGAGCGCTTTCGCCAGTTAAACGAAAGCAAAGCCTCAACAATGTTGGCAAAATCTGTAGTCAAGCTGTGCACAATTTTCCTGCCATCCGTCATGATCTGTAAGACTTCTTCATCCTGTTTACGATGGGTGCTCATTTTAGTATAGTCTGATTCGTCTGATTAAATCCAAAACCAATACTTACGTCAAGATCCGCTTCTAACAGATAGAAAGAGAATTCTTTGACCAGGTGAAAATTTCCGCCTTGAGCCGCACGCACCGATTCCAAAAGTCCCTTCTCCTTGGGAATGGCGAATCTCACCTTGTTGATTGCCGCTACCTTAGCTCGCTCGCGGTCAGCACTTGTAAACGACTTTAAAATGGAAGTCTTTCCAGTTTTACTTGTGTAGGCAGACATTTTAATGACAGTTCTATTTAGTAATAGTGCGCAATTGATGTGACCCGAAAGGAACACTTCAATACAATGCTTGACAGTTCAGCTATCTACGTTTTATGAGTTAAGCAGCCTCTAACACACTTTCTTAGAGTTTTAGTATAATATATTATCATTATAAGTGAAGTTTCCACTCAATATTTATGTGGAAAGCATCCACAAAGTATTTACTGTGCGAGTCTAGACCTCAGCTGAAATCAAAACACGTTGTATTTCAACATTGATGGCGTTCACATTCCACGATTTTTATATTCGTTTTGAAGTTACCACCTAGCCAGTTTACTCAGCACTAATCCTATAATTTTATCCGAAGAATTAATCAATTTTCTACAAGACCGGCTTGTTTAAATGTTTCCTTGTCACGGGATTGTTTGTAAATTAAGGTTTAACCAAAAAAAAATCAGCAAAAATGTTCTTTAAATATAATTTCTGCATCAGTGTGTTAGCACGACGAGGTAAATCCAAACGTTTGAAACCTTTAAAAAAATATTAGAAAATGCTAGAAAATACTCAAAATACCATAGAAGTATATTAAAATACCATGTGTGTGACCTACCCTACCCGGTCAACACGTGAAATGGGGAGCCAGTGTGACCGCGGTAACACCGGACCGACGGAGACACTTTATTTTAATTTTTAAATCTATATTTGAAGCCTCCAAAAACAGGAATGTCACTTTTTCGAGTACAAACTGTCTGCTAGAGGCAGTACGCTGTGCAGTACTCAATTAAAAAAAGATAATTAAAAAAGCAAAAGCAGCCGATGGTATTTACTGGTATATGCATATAAAATACTATTAGTAGAGGTTCCAGCTGCTTGTGCTCGGACTTGGTATTTTCAGTAGAAAAAAAAAACAAAACGTACGCCATGTGTTTGCGCCTTTTTTGATAGAAAACCAAAAAACAGAAACAAAAAGGGAAATGGACTCCATATTTTTAGTAGACAAAACTGGCAACCAGGAGCTGCAGAGCAAGCGAGGCACAAATGTTCTGTACACAAAGGGTAGAGACAGGTTCTTGCTATCGGGTGACGAGTCTGGGAGCAGTGACGAGGAGCGAAGCGAAGGCGAAACGCAACTTTTTGGGCTCAACTTTAACAGCAAAGATATTAGCGATGCTGTTAATTCTTCGTTGGCTGGGACAAAGCCAGCTCCATCAAAAGTGGCACTACAACTGGATGAGATGACTGAGAAATTAGAAGCCGCTGTGGATAGTTCAATCCAAAACAAAAAAGGCCACCGGAAGCGGTTCACAGAGTTGGACTGCAGCTGTGAACCGGACTTGATCATTCGAACGGAAAATGTGGAAAAGGATATGCTAAACTCGCGACGAGTTTTGGATCCAGGTCTGGCGCAGCGCACTGCTCTGCCATGTGTCGGCAAGAGAAAGCAAACCATTCTGAACAGAGTAAGTGATTGAACATAGGAAGAACGTTTATTGGCAACTCAAATGATGAAATTTTCGACATCGGAAGTTATGCGTAAACGCGTAGCAAGTGCTCGGTTCCCGCTGCTTGAGGCAGCTGCTGTGACGAGACTCAAACTCACAGACCTTAGCTATTCAAGTTTCATCCGTTGTAATCTTAGCTCCTACGTTGGAGCATGTTGTAGGGGCTGTAAGGCCAACGGGACATCAACAGCCATGGAGCTAGACTGTTGTCTGCCGTCAAGTTCAAGGCAGATAATTTAGAGTTGGGCTAATATTTCTTTCCATTTAATGAAACGCTAAACAGCTATTGTCGAACCACACACAGCAGCTGCTAAGGCTGAAGCCGTTAGCCACATTGACGACGTCTTTAGTAATCTGATAGATCAGTAGTTCGAGCATGTAGTACGTATAGTGAGTGTGATTTATATTAAAATAAACTCCCTTCTTTTTAGGCGGAGCGTGCAAAAACTAAAGGCAGCGGTTGGTTTGATCTGCCAGCCACAGAAGTCACCGAGGAAATGCGAAATGAACTAAAAATCATTCAGATGCGATCGGTTCTGAATCCTAAACAATTCTACAAGAAGAACGACTTGAAGGTTCTACCCAAATACTTCCAAATCGGAACCGTTCAACATTCGGCATTAGATCACTACAAGGAAAAGAACACAAGGAAAGCAAAGAAATCCTTGGTTGATCAACTTCTGGAGGACGAGGCCTTCCAGAAGTTCAACAAACGGAAATATAATGAGGTAATCCAGCGCACAGACAAATACGCTCATCGAAAGGCAATGAAAAAAATGAAGAAACTAAAGAAAAATAAATAAATCTATTGTACAACTTTGGCCTTCAATGGTTTTGTTTTGTTAATTTTATAAACTAGTTAATCATATCATTTCGAGTCTTGTTGTGAAAACTTCTTCCGCTCCCCTATGGCTTGTAGAGTGTGTTCAGCCAGTTGAGTAAAGAGTGTGGAATATTCGGTGTTTGGGTACTTAATAACTACAGGCACACCTTCCTCCCCGCACTCTGCAATGTGTGCGTTCAGTGGCAAGGATATAATCGTGTCAGGAAGCGACTGCGAGCTGGGAGATTTTTTGAAAAATTCTATGCGATGATTGCAGCTGTCGCAAATGGAGTACCTCATGTTCTCCACCAGACCAAAGATGGGAACATTTAACTTTTCAAACATTTTCGCACCTCTCAGCGTAACCTCTACAGCTGCGGCGTGCGGGGTGGACACCAAAATAACACCTGTAATGGGCGAATGCTGGGTTAGCGAGAGATGAACATCTCCCGTACCGGGAGGAGTGTCTATGACCAAAACATCCAACGGACCCCATTCGGCTCCCTTCAGCAGGCGCTGTACGGCTGACATAACCAGGGGGCCGCGCCAAATAATTGCTCCATCAGATGGTGTAAGCATGCCCATTGACAAGCACTTTACGTTGTAATTTTGGGGCGGAATCATTAGATTCTGGCTATTCACATGGGGCTCGCTGTGCACGTTCATTAAAAGTGGAATGCTCGGACCAAAAATATCACCGTCCAACAGACCCACACGCTTTCCCAGCTTGGCCAGGCTGCAGGCAAAGTTAGCTGCAATGCAAAAGAAATCAAAATGGTTACGCCACATCTATCAATTGTAATTATACTCTCATACCTGCCACGGTACTCTTGCCAACTCCCCCTTTTCCAGACGCTACCACTATAATATCTTCGACACCAATCAGTTTCTCCCTTTTGGGCAGACCGCGCGCCATCATCGCCGTCTGGTGGTCGGTCAGTTTCGTTGCAAAGCGTCGCTGAGAGGCGCGCATTAGTGGACGCAATGCCAATAAATTGCTGTTCATTGTTTATATTATTAAAGATATGTTATTAAATTTAAAAAAAACAGTAATCGCCAGCTAAATGCCAGCTGGTTGTGTCGGATCAGATGTTTCAGTGGCTGCCAGGGCTGGAAAGCTACAGAGCTGTGATAACTTACTAAACAAACAAAAACACCTTGAAATAATTGCAAATAGTAAATAAATTTGAACTAAATCTGTATATTGCCTTCAGTTCAGACTTGAATACATTGTGCATTTGAGCAGATTGTGTTACAGGGTTAAAGTGCAAACAATACAGAAACATCTGCGGCAAGATCTGTGCAACGCAAATCCAAACTTAAAACTACGAGATGGAACAGAATGAAGAAACTTTGTGCCAAAACGACGAGGAGCAGTGGTCAATTGAGGACGATACGCTTTTCCAGCCATGTGGATTGATCAGTGTCAGTGCGGCGCCTTCCTGCAAATCTGTGTTTATTACCTGGAACGAATTGTATTTGCTCAATTTTCGTTTCAAGAAACAGAAAGGATCAAACAAGCTGAAAATGAGCAGAGTGCGAATTCCCTTGCCCAGGGGAAGAGGAAATCATCTGCGCAGCATACATTCTCTGAAATATAATACAATATTGCTAATGTCGGATGGACAAATATATTGCTTTGGCTCGATCAAAGCCTTGCACACTGTGAGCTGGCTGAGTGGAGTCAGGTGCTTCGCCCCAACAGATCAGGGCTTTAGCGTGATACGTGAGAGAGAGCAGCGACTGCTGCTGGAGACCTATCTGGATCTTCCTGGCTTGGAAAAGGGCGAAAGTACTCTGCAGCACACCTTCGATATAACCTACGATGAACAGAATATATTCCAGTGTGACTGGATAAGCGAAAAGTACACCTTGACTACACTGAAAGTCTCCGATGAGGCGGAACATTTCATGCAGCGTCTGTTTGGAGCCAACGTGGTCAGGCAGCAGTTTGTGCATATTTTCAGCATTGCTGGACACATGTTCGCTTTGGCTTCCAATGCAGAAGCAGAAGATTCGGAGCAAGCCTACCACATTGAACTCCTTTGTGTCTATGCCTGCCCCATTCACTTTGTACGCCTCCTGCCTCGCCAGAATCTCTGTTTGGTCATTCTGAGCAGCGGCAGCGTGGACATATGGCACGTGTCTAAGCTGTTGGGCATTAAGCAGCGGCTAATGCATCACACGGGCTCGGAATGGTTGGACTATGACTTCGATGCCAGCAGTGAGAACGGGGACCTATACTACACTAACGGAGAGCAGCTGGTGCGGCTGAGAGTTAAATACAACGCACAGCTGGACGAGTGTCTGGTTCAGAGCTCGGCCAAGTCTGTTCCCGGCATACAGGCCTGCACTTGGGTGAGCCACAGCGAGCAGTTGGTTTGCCTGAGTGACAACAACATGTTCTACCGCATTGCCTTTGGTGTTGACAGCGAGGAAGCACATAAGAAGACTTCATTGCTTAGTGACTTTACGCCAGCAGCAATACAGCGCGTGCGTCAAAACACCCAGCAGTTGGATAAATATGAAAGGCAACCAGTCCTGCTGCAGTTGGCCATACAAAGAGAGTATCAAAAGCAGCAACTAGTGGCGGTGGGGAGCAATAACAAATTGATTGCTGGGAGCTGCAAGGCGTCGCTAAAGTTTCATCGCCAGATACCTTTCAGTGGAGACGCTGTTATGCTCCTGCAACCAGCTCAGGAAATGGATCTTCACAGTAATTGCATATATGCCATTTTCAAATTGAGTCTTGATAGCTGTGAACACCTTATGCACAGCACCCACTGGCAACTATTGCTGACCATTGATGACCATCAAACCCGTGTTCATGTACTGCCAGAACTTCTTTTAAATAGAAGCTGCAATTTGGTGGTTCCATTGAGGAAACGAAGAAACGAACGTCTGCCTGAGTTAACTCTTAAATTGGTTGCTTTTATTGAATTGCATGGTCATCTAAGCGCTGTGCTGATTCCCATTCTTGTAGAAGAAAATTCGTACACCTACAGCGCCCTTTTTGAAGGAAGTGTGACGGCCGTAGACCTGCGCTCAGATAATGATCTACCGATGTACAATAAAAAGACTGGTCCAACGATTTGTCACAAGTTTCGACTACCCAACAATTTGACACTGCCCCAAGTGGCTAACCTGTTCAATGCTGCTGGTAACTTGAAGGAGAATCTAATGGAAATATTTTTCACAGACATCAAGCTTCGAATACAAGGGAACAAAGATGATGGAGAGGAAGAGAGTTTACCTCTATCACTTCAATGTGAAGATCCCTCTGCCATTTTCTATTTCAAGCATCATATTCTCTTAAATGTGGAACCCTTGAATGCTAGTAGAGATTCTACAATATTAAATCAAGTTATGGTAATGTTAAACATTTCATTTATTTATTTACCCCCACTAATAATGAACATTCCACAGAAATTTCAATGCGAGACTGAGCGTTTATATGGCACCCAACGAGCAGATGGGTCGGACTGTGGAACTAACATTCAATTGCGATTAGAATCGCAATATTCTGCCATTAGAAAAACAATATTTTAATTATTTTAAGTGAGCATGTTTAAATATACATCTTTCTATCTGTCCCAAAAGCGGTGGTGTAAAGATCCACTGTTTTAGCCTAGAAAGGTGGTAAGAGTCTGTCAGAGTCCATTTCAGAAAAGCAATAGAATTGCTTTATCGCTTTTGTTGTGCGCGCCATTTTTCAAATGTTTCAATTTTATCAGTTAATTCGAAAGACCGGTGGGTGCGGCACTACTATTTCATTGAACATTCCATTCTTCCAGAAGGGAGATTTTAATGAAAAATTCAAATACAGATTTGTAAAATATAAGGTCATAAGGTATACAAACCAATTAAAATTAGTATTTACAGTACATCAAATTGATTCTTCAAACGGATTAAATTATTGTATCAGTGTTAAAAGTGTTTGCAAGCTGGTTATATTAAATAGAACATCAAAATCGAGGAAAATATTTTAAGATTCACTTCTTTGCACGTTTTAAAGGAAGGGTTGACTAATATTTAAAAAATATCATATCGGTGATATATTTTGCTTGAAAAAAATATCAAAATAATATAAAATATATCACTGCAAAAATATCGATATATTTGATGTATAACTTAAATTCCGTGCGCATCGGTAATAAATAACTACCATAAAGAAAACAGAAACCTTATATATGTTTTTAACATATTTAATCCTTATTCCACTTTTCTGTGTTTTTAATTTGACTTATTCAACTATTCTTCGCTCTACATGCATAACTCTTTTGAGTAGGTGTTTATGTTCTCTCGCTCTTTTAGTCAACAATTTTACAACACAATTTAAATTCTTTATGGGGTCGGAAACATTTCCGAACATACATCCACTTTTGTGCACAAATACAATATACCCTATATATTTATTTAGATCCTGTGGTTAGTTACCGAACTTAAAATATCGCAAAACCATATCGATATATTGATATTTTGATATATACTTGACAACCCTATCGGCTTCTTCCTTTCTTTTTTCACCCTACGTGGAAACATCGTGTAGCGGTGTTAAATTTTCATTAAAAAGTGAAAAATGGTGAGCCTTTGCTGGATTATAACAAAACCAATGCCCGAATCGTTTTGTGTTCTATCTAAAAACATTGCAACATTTGGAAAACGCTGGAAGATGTCACGAGAATCGTCGGATTGATTTTCGGAACGAGACTAACTTGAGTGTTGTGTTTTCGTCAATTTCAGGGTTTCGTTAAGGTAGTCAAGAACAAGCAGTACTTCAAGCGCTACCAGGTTAAATTCCGTAGGCGTCGTGAGGGTAAAACCGATTACTATGCCAGGAAGCGCTTGACGTTCCAGGATAAGAACAAGTACAACACGCCCAAGTACCGTTTGATTGTGCGTCTCTCCAACAAGGATGTCACTGTCCAGATCGCATATGCTCGTATTGAGGGTGATCGCGTCGTGTGTGCCGCTTACTCGCACGAGCTGCCCAAGTATGGCGTTAAGGTAAGTGGAGTCGCTATATTCGATTCAATTTAAACTTGGCGGAAATACTTATGTCTAATATTATTATTATAGGTCGGTTTGACCAACTATGCTGCTGCATACTGCACTGGTCTGCTGGTTGCACGTCGTGTGCTGAACAAGTTGGGCCTGGACTCTCTGTATGCCGGCTGCACTGAAGTAACCGGAGAGGAGTTCAACGTGGAGCCAGTCGACGATGGACCAGGTGCTTTCCGTTGCTTCTTGGATGTTGGCTTGGCGCGCACCACAACCGGTGCTCGTGTGTTCGGTGCCATGAAGGGTGCTGTTGATGGTGGACTTAACATTCCACACTCCGTGAAGCGTTTCCCCGGCTACTCTGCAGAGACCAAGAGCTTCAATGCTGATGTGCACCGCGCTCACATCTTTGGTCAGCATGTTGCCGACTACATGCGAACTCTGGAGGAGGAAGACGAGGAGAGCTTCAAGCGCCAGTTCAGCCGTTACATCAAACTGGGCATCCGTGCTGATGATGTAAGTAAAATGGAGACCCATATACTAGCTGGACGTCCATTTTCAAAATTACTGCTGCGTTCTGTCACCCACAACGCTGGCCGTGCCAAAAGTGGACCACATTAAAGCCTAGTCACCTCTGTTCGAAGTTAAATCCCCTCAATGGATCCAACTTCCTGTTATGGGTTGCACATTCCGTTCCCACAGAATGATTTTTGATTTTGCTTTTCTAATTATGTGAATTTTTCTTACAGCTTGAAGATATCTACAAAAAAGCCCACCAGGCCATTCGTAACGATCCTACCCACAAGGTCACCGCCAAGAAGACTGCTGGCGTTACGAAGAAGAGGTGGAATGCTAAGAAACTCACAAACGAGCAGCGCAAGACCAAGATTGCCGCCCACAAGGCCGCCTATGTGGCCAAGCTTCAGTCCGAGACTGAGGCCTAGGCGTGCTTGTCTTTTGTTGCAGTTCGTATTGGTGTGAAAAAGAAATAAAAATTGTAATGAGAAACAATTTCTATTATAGAAAATGACAGAATTTGGTTTTTATCTATTTGGGGTTCGATGCTTGTTGGTACAATGGTTTCCATTCTATGCTTAAGCAGAATCGGCGTCAAATTCAATATTTATTTTAAATACATTAAAAAGAGAAGGCAATAAATAAACATTCACGCAAATTGTATAGCTAGCAGTTATAAAAGGCGTCCTGAAGCGAAGGGTCTAAGCATCCGTTCTACTCCTCGCTTGGGTCACTGTTGCCCGTATCACACTCGCCGCATTGAACGCTGGCTGTACCGCCGGGAATACACAGCTCGTGGTAGATATGACCACATTTGAATGCCACTAGGCAGTTGCGGTTCGCCGTGCTTTTCATCAGAACTTGCCGATGGCATTGAGGACAGTGGTGTTCGTCCGATACATGCTGGGCTCGTCGCCGCATGGCAACCACTTCCGAATGGCTGTCAAAATAGTCATCCAATTGAATTTCATGGGCTGTGCAGAGAACCTCCTGTTGGGTGTTGTAGTGCCAGAGCATTTTAACCACCGATTCCCGCAGATTTGGTATGGTCTGTCCCAGTTTTATTTTACTAACTACTATCTCGGGATTCACATAGTCTAAAAGAGAAGGAGACAAGAGATTACATTTCGAGTAGAAAAGTATTTGTCATTGATTAACGCACCCACAATGCCGTCCAAGACTTTCGTTACAATTTCGGGCTGCTTGGTGGACTCATCAATGAGCACATTCCACAAATCATTGTCGTTGTGCTCCTTGCAAAATTCAATTGCCATTTCAATATCACTCATCTGAAAAAGAAAATCCTTCATTAAACTTTCCATTTAAACTTGTTTAGTTGATATTCTCGTACACTGTGTATGATAATGTTAAGGGCTTCTACAGCTTCTACTCCGCCCATGCAGCCCAGCAAATAAACCATTTCCGGATAGAAGCCTTCCCGCTTGCAAATGGCCAAAGCATCCTGTATGACATACTCCTTGGAACGTCGCAAGAAGGGTAATAGCTTCGACCGATCGTATTTGGCATACAACTCAACTAACTTCCGTTGGAATACATTGCTGCTGTCAATCTTCTGAAGGTCATCCAAAAACTAAAAAGGAAATGGGTGAATTCTGTTGGTTTATATATTCATAAATGGAGTTCCTACCCAGTATAGATACTCATGATTCTGTTCTAGCTGCTGCACGACAACTTCAGGCTTAATTTTTTGTTTGTCCAGTAGTATTTTGAAGGCTCGCTCGCGATCCAGGTGAATGAGTGGAATGATTAATTTCGAAATTACGCTGTAGAGCTCATAGCGACGTATTAGTTCGAAAACATCCTTGTTCTGTAATCTAAGCAACATAACTTTCTATTAGGATTTCCTTAAGTAAATTCAATTACTTACTTTAAATACATTCGCAGTGCACTCTCGTAGTCCCCTTGATACGAGTAGAGCAGCGCCAGCGATTCTAGCAATTCGTTTGCATTCTGTTTGCGAAAATTGTCATGTATGGCATTTATTACCGCCAATCCATCGTAGAGCTGCGGTGGCCATTCCTTGATCAGGTTCAGAAAACCCTTGACATCGAACTTTAGAAACTCGTACAAAACCATTTCATACACATGGGGATCCAACTTGCAGTCCTCAGATGTCGGCAAATAAGCACTAACAGCACGCAATTGTTGGCATTTGACAAATTTGAAGACTTCCTCCTCCCAAAGAGCCTTATTGTTGCCCAGCATACGCAGGCAGAGTTTGGCAGCATCTTCGTATTGTTTGAGCGTCAGCAAATGGTTGATGTACAACCTGTGAAATTAATTATTGATAAGAATAAATAAGAACCTTTAATTTATAAAAGAGAGATTTTTTCGATATCGAAAGTCTCAATACGATAGTTTCCGATACTTAATGTTCAAATACGAGTTTCATCGATAACATTACTGTTATTGATATTTTGTTAGGATAAATAATAAATGAAATATTTATAAATTATTAACACTCACCTGGCAACTGAAAGAACCGGCAAGCTCCCTGCGCCATGTGCTGATATCAGGTCGATTGCCTCTTCGAATTTACTGTGAAAAAAAGTAAATAGAACCAGCGCATAGAACCGGTGTTATGTGAGAACAATTCGCAATTATGTGCAGCATATGTACTGTCTTTGCAGGATTTGATAGAACGTTGAGTGTCCAAGTACAAAAATGCGGCGCTTGAACAACCTGGTGACCCTTTTCACTGCCATTACTGCCTTCTTTTTTGGTAGTTTCATTACAAGAATACTGAGTTCAGTGGACAAATGCCCGTCCCACCGGGGTGGAGTGCCTAAATTGGAGCCGCATCCGGATCTCTTTCTCATGGTGCTAGTGCTGAGCAGCCCCCGCAATGTGGAGCAACGGAATGGCATTCGAGATACCTGGCTTCGATTGGGGCAGCCCCTCCAGCAGCCATACTATCCCGAAGAACTCATCTACCTGCCTACCTATGGTCCCAATGGGCACCTGCAAATGGAATTGGTTACTCAGCAGGCAGACCGCTTAAAGAAATATATAAACTGGCAAGAAACGAGCAAGAGTTCAGAAAAAACTCGGCGGAATATCAAGGTAAAACATCTCTTCGCGATTGGCACTGAGCAGATACCCAGCGGCCTGAAGTCCGAGTTGATGAGTGAGCAAGTGCAGCACAATGATCTGCTACTGCTCCCACGGCTCGCAGACACATACGGCAATCTGACAGAGAAATTGCTGCAGGCTCTGGATGCTTTAACGCATCATTTCAATTTCTCCTATCTGATCAAAGTGGACGACGATACCTACGTCAAGTTGGACCATTTGCTCAATGAGCTGATTTCCTACGATCGTAAGATGCTGCGCAAGACACCTGAATACGGGCACGAGCCCCTGCCGCAGCTCTATTGGGGCTACTTCAATGGTCGTGCAGTGGTCAAGGGTAAAGGCCCCTGGAAGGAGTCTAATTATTATCTCAGCAAAAACTATTTGCCCTACGCTCTAGGCGGTGGATATGTGCTATCCCGAAAGCTCTGCGAGCATGTCGTTAATAATTCCCATGTGCTCTCCACGTACGTCTCGGAAGATGTATCGATTGGTACCTGGCTGGCTCCACTGCGGCACGTTTATCGCTGGCATGATCCTCGCTTTGATACGTCCTACAGAGCGCGCAAGTGTCAAACGTATCACTTGCTCCTGCACAAGCGGACCGAGGAAATGATGAGAGCCATCTACCATGGGCAACCTTGTAGCGGAATTGGACCAAGTGCCCTAAAGGAGTACTACTACGATTGGACGCGAACCTCTGAGAAATGCTGCGATAGCATAGTTGTCTAGTGAAAATAAATCAGTTTACCTGTGCTTAATCAGCCACTCCACACGATCGTCCGTTTCTATAAGACTGGCAACCACAATATCCTTGGGAGCGACAATAAAATAACGATTCTCTTCAATTATGCAGCCCAGGCTGTAGTCGTTCACGGTGTACTCCTCGAAGCCGCGCAGCGTCAGACTGTCTGTGCAGATCTCCTCGCTGCTGTTCATTTTGTACTCAATGACGCACAGCACGGGTCGAAGTGCTTTGTAGTTTGCGCTGCGCTCCTTACGATAGCCGAGCACCACCAACTGGCTGGACGCCAGCGGGGCCAGTCCACAAATGTAGAAAGTAGTTTGAAATGTCGAGACTGCAATGCAATAAAATATTATTAGATACGATTAAAGCGACTCATGTTCACTTTACCTACCAGGATCCACAACATAGCCCGGCAAATTGCTGGATGCAGCTTCAATTCCATTCCGCTTGCGTATCACACAAATCCTGATGGTGTCCACCCAGCCAATGAGCAATGTGTGCTCATTGGACCAGCGCAGGTGGCAGCGAAAGTTCTCGAGACGCGCCTGCTGAGGAACTTCCCATTTCATCAATCCCAAGGAGCATCTTTCACTTAAGTCATAGACACGAACGCCCAAGTGGCTTGCCCAGGCCACAAAGTTTCCCTGCCAGCAAATGGACAAGACGCTGCCTTCGACTGCACACAACTCGGTGGGTTTGAGCTTCTTCAGAATATTGCGCTCATAGAGTGTGAGTTTGTCTTCGCCTAAAACGAGCTCGAGTTAGAATAGATCTTAGATCCACAAAATGGGCTGAACTTACCCACTATGAACCGCCTGACGCGGGACTTTGGATCCGGATCTAAGGCCACAACTTTAATGGATTTTCCAAAACTGAGATTTTGATTGTTCTCGCAACTGAAGAGCCCCGTGATGTTGACCTGCAAGAGAACGTCTGTCACATCCACCCACCATATAACGAAGTGACTCACTTTGCCATCGTCGGAGCATGTGGCAACATACTCGCCCTTTGGGTCGACATCCACCTGGTTCACTGCTACTTTGTGCGTGTGCTGCTCGCTGTTGCTCAGATGGGAATCAACCGAGTTGCCTTGGTGATCCAGCAAGTAGACGCGCCCTCGGAATGTGCCAAATATAAGAAACTGCAATCTCTTTAGTACGAAAGACCCGTGCAACTTGGGGAATGCGAATTTAGCCAACCTTGGAATGGACAGCAGTGCATGTGACGACGTCTGCGTTGAGTATATTCTTGAGATCGTTGGCTATCCGCTGGTACTTAAATTTTGGCTCCACTTCTTCATCCTCTTCGGTGCTCTCCGTTCCAGAGTCCTAGACAGCAGAAGATCATGTCTCAGTGCACCCCCAATCTCTATTTCAAAACTTACGCTATTGACTGGCAGCTTTTCTGCCATTTTTAACCATCAGTTTTATTTATTTCAAGGATAAATAATTGTTCTTATCAAAATTTCATTTTTTTTGTTTTTGTTTGTCTGCCTTGCAGTTAGGGTTGTCAAATATATATCAATATATCGATATTTTTTTTTTCCCGAAATATCAATATATTGCTATGTTTTTGCGATATTTTTTTATTTTTCATGTTCGGTAACTAACCACAGGATCTAAATAAATATATAGGGTATATAGTATTTGTGCACAAAAGTGGATGTACATAACGCACAGAAGGAAATGTTTCCGACCCCATAAAGAATATATAATATTGTTGTTAGTAGTATTGATCAGTATGAATAGCAAAGGCGATCTGGCCATGTCTGTGTATCCGTCTGGCTCAGAGACTATAAGAGCTAGAGCCACCGAGTTTTGCTCCAAGATTGATGTGATTTCACACTGATAAAAGTGTATGTATGAAGCGTCTCACTCTTCCCTATTCGTTTAGGTCGCAAAACTGGGGTTTTCCCTAATTTACACGGACACCGCATGCGTGTGTTGACTAACCATACAGTCAGTGATTTGGTCCCAATTACCACCTCCACAAAATAATTTTTGCTCAGAGTTTTCTTGAATAATAGGAAAGTGCAATTTATGCAGCAGTGGTGGTTTTTATACCCGGTACTCGAAGAGTAAATAGGGTATATTGTAATTGTGGGGAATAACGGTTGTATGTAACGCACAGAAGGAAACGTTTCCGACCCCATAAAGTATATATATTCTTGATCAGCATCAATAGACGGGGCGATAGAGCCATGTCTGTCTGTCCGTCTCTCCGTCTTGTTTGTCGGCTAGTTCTCAGAGACTATAAGAGCTAGAGCCACCAAATTTTGCATCCAGACTGCTATTTGCTCATACTGAAACCAGTGTATTTCAAATGAGCCACGCCCCTTCCGCCTCCGCAAAAGGGCGAAATCCTCCCAACCCTACAGTTTTGAAGATAAAAGAAAACTAAAAACGCCATTCCGTAGGAAATATCTATCAGATCACCAAATTGGGATCCGATCGGATCATTCTTTTAGCCACAATGGAGAAATTAATTTCCAGTGGCTAAACCCACCCTGTTCCGCAGCTTTTGTTGTTCTTTTTACATTCTCTCATTCACACTCTGCTTCTGCTTCACTCGGCCCCTGCCTCTGCCCTCCCCCTGCCGATGTCTGTGCCGACTTTTAACCCACCCCGTCCCTCAGCTTTTATTTTTATTTTGTTTGTTGTGTGCGGACGGTGAATGAAAAGTGTTCTAGATGTAGATGACAGATGAAGAAAATATTTAAAATTTGACAAAACACCGCTAAGGTGCAGAGTGCCCTGTATAAAAGTTGTGACGCGTAAAAAGCGTCTCACACGTCCCTTCTCGTTGTGAGGTGTGCGAGATAGGAATATTATCTGGAGGATATTCGTACTGTGAAAAAGTCTGTGGGTGTTTTAAACCAAAAACCATAAACACCTCTCAAAAGAATTATGTATGTAGAGCGAATAATAGTTGAATAAGTCAAATTAAAAACACAGAAAAGTGGAATAAGGATTAAATATGTTAACCATAAGGTTTCTGTTTTCTTTATGGTAGTTATTACCGATGCGCACGGAATTTAATTTATACATCAAATATATTTTTGCAGTGATATATTTTATATTATTTTGATATTTTTTTCAAGCAAAATATATCACCGATATGATATTTTTTAAATAATTGTCAACCCTACCTTTAAAACCTGCAAAACAGTGAATCTTAAAATAATTTAATCGATTTTGATGTTCTATTTGATTTTACCAGCTTGCAAAGACTTTTAACACAGAAACAACAATTTAATCCGTTTGAAGAATCATTTTGACGAATTTCATATGCTAATTATTTTTGGGTTGTATAGGTATACCTGACCGTATGACCTTATATTTTACAATTCAAACATTCAAATCACCTCTTGTGGGAGCAAGGAAGCTTTTTATACAGTATGTAAGTGATATCATAAAAATGTTTGAAAAACTGCGCGCGCAACCAAAGAGATAAGAAATTATATTATTTTGTTGAAATGGAGAGGGAATGGGAACTTAGGTAAATATTAGAATGAGCTTGGAATGGTTTGGGGTGCAGTTCTTCTATCTTTACAACATAATTGGAGCTAAACTTCGATATATCCGCCCGATATTGGAGTATTGTTCTTGTGTGTGGAGTCCTCAATACAAGGAGCAACACATTCTTGTTGACACCTTCGCTTTTGGGGCAGATAGATTATACAGTTCCCTTCAGACCAGGGCTCGGCATGGCCTTATCTATTGTCTATTCAAGTGGCGCTGCCGCCTCACGTACACGCGTATTATAGTGATTCGTACCATTACCAATATAGTGAATCTTCCATTTTGTTAATTGTATGCGGGCCGAGCCTTGATGTGAAGTAACGTGTAAATAGTACGTGGAAATACGTTCGATATGTTCCGATCGGGTACACTGGTTTCTCATAATATTGCTGTAATTGATTCATGCATCAAAACTGAAGCCACACTTCTTTGCTACTCGGCCACGAGTACTTTGCGACTTTGCGTGAGACTTTGCGTTTCGTATTAGGTTTAAAAACTCTCTTTATCCGGAGATGAAAAACAGGAAGAGTAGGAACCATTTCAAAAGTCTCTTCTTCGATTTTTTGACGACAGTCCAAACACAGCCCTTTGTCCATGGGAAATAAAACCCAAACATCAACATATTGACAATATAAGTATGTATGTGTGTATGCATGTATATTTCGTTCTTCATAAATGCGCTTAATTATTGTTGGATTTAGTCTAATTTATGTTTTCCTATGCGGTTCGGGGTCTAAGCAAATCAAAAGAAACAAAGGGAAGCAGGCAGAACAATGAGGAAAATGAACAATGTTTATGAAAATATACACAACTTGTGGTTTATTAACCAATTAAACATTCTAAAAGTACCAAATAAAAAATATGATTCTCGCTTGCATGCGCTCTGTAAAGTTTAAATACATATGTTAAGAAGTTAAGACTAAATATATGATTGCGAAACCAACCGTAAACGGTTTGGAAACTGGAATTTCGAAACTTCAGTTTCTAGAGTACTATTTTGGGGTTTTGCTTCGTTTTCTCTTGTTTGTTTTTGTTTTTTCGTTTGACTGTTTGTTTCTTACGTCGTGTCTTGTTTTGTCTTGTCTTAAATTGTTTGTAGTTATCTCTAGTACACTACAGGATTATCGTGGTGTATGTGGTAATGTGTGAATAAATAAAAGCCTAAATAGTAGCATTCTAAAATACATAATACAAAAACTACGCGGCGTCAACGATAACGTCAATAAGTGGGCGTGATTAGATTTCTGTTTAAACACCCCACACGGCCATAATTCATCTGTTGTAATCGCCGCATCCGATTTCCTCGTTGCCCATTGTCCAATAGTGATCCAAAATATCCTCGCTGGTGAAGCGAACATCGGGATCGGATTGCAGCATGTTGGCGATTAGATCGCGCACACCGTCTCCAATATCCGACCAGTAGGGATCTGGGAACTCGTACACGCCCGAGATGATGGCGTCAAAAAGCGGCTCCTGTTGGTTGTCTGGCGCCACAAACGGCGGGAAGCCGCACAGCAGTATGTACAGTATGATGCCAGCAGCCCAAACATCGATCTGCGATAAACAAATCAATTAAATTGCAGACTTAAATTATGACTTATAAAGTTACTTTACCTTTAAGCCGTATCCCACTTCTAGTAATATTTCGGGCGCCACATAGGTTGGCGTGCCGCAGACGGCGTATAGAGGTTCGGTGACTTCACAGGCCAGTCCAAAGTCAGCGAGTTTCAGTTGAACGACATTCCCAAACTCATCCAGTTCAACCTGCGAATGGTCCCAACTGCATTACTTGAATCAAATGCCTAACTTTCCCACTTACCAATAGGTTCTCCGGCTTTATATCTCGGTGCACAATGCCCATGGAATGTAGGTAAGACATGGCTGAGCCCAGATGTCTGATCATGATGCGGGATTGGCTCTCCGAGAAACGCGTCACCTGGGTAATTGCATCAAAAAGATCGCCCCCTGCGAAATAAAGGGAAATTAGTAAAGGTGAATTTCAGGCTGATTGCCAATGAACCCACCACTGACATACTCCAGCACCAGATACATATTTGTGTTCTGGTCCACATCCATTACGAGCGAGATTATGTGTGGATGGTGGAGCTTCTTCATGACGCGCACCTCTGCGTCAATGTAGTGCTCTTTGCCCTTGCACTTGCTCTTGTCGATTATTTTCAGAGCGCGAGGAATGCCCGTCTGGCGATCCTTAATTTTCAGCACAATGGCAAAGTTGCCGTCGCCAATGATTTGGCTCAGCGTGTAGTTGTCGCGTATGGCAGCCGGAAGTTCGGCTACCTCCACGCCAGTGCTCTTGAGCAGCGCCGCCTGCTCATCGTCCTCGTTGGCAGGGCTTGCCTCTGACTGAAGCTGAGCCTCGGCCTGGGCTTTTAGTTCCCCCGGCGGGTATGCCTTTTTGCTCTTGACAGGCATTTTGGGCTTGGGTCCCTTGCAGGCGGTGCCCGCCGTGCGCAGCGTCTTTCGTATAGCATTAATGGCGCGCTGCTCCTCCGCCTCCAACTTGAAGTCGTCCACGGTGTTGACCCGCTCTGTGCCGTAGGCAAAGAACACATCATCCGAGCCAAAGAAGTCGGCCAGCTGCAGCACCGAGACACCCGACAGGGTAAACACCTTCCTCACATAGCCCGTATCCAGCCGCACCACCTGCGTAATGGCGGTCAGGACGTGGTCGAAGCTGGGACTGTTCCGCTTGTTCAGCAGCAATCGAATGATGCGCCTTGGCTTTGTCCCATTCCGTATGAGGGTAACGATGCGAGGATGTACCACGCTGTCTCGCTCACTGAACCGCGAAGTGTTCAACGGACTGCCATTGGAGGCGGCTCCTCCGGCAACTGTGGCCGGTGCACTGCTGTTGAGAACTCCGTTCTTCAGCGGAGATGCGGGACGCTGCAGCTTGGCCAGTCGACTGTTGCACGAGCGGCTGTTGTTCGCCAGCGTGAGGTTGGCCAGCGGCTGGGAGCTGGTATTGTACTCGACCTTCTTGAAGTTTTCGTTATTGCAGGAACACACGTAGCTCTGTCCATCCTCCAGCTCCTCCAGGGCGATAATCTAAGGGGGGAAACATCAGTCAAATCTGATGGATAAATGTTCGCTTCACTCACCTTCTTGCCACACATGTCATAGATGGTGCGCACAGCACCTGGGATTTTCACATTCTCCTCGAGGAGTCGTGTCAGGTCCTCGTAGAGGCTCTCGAATGATCGATATCGTTCGTTGGACACGGGTATGGTTATGCCCGGGTAGAAGCGATCCCCATTGCGATAGAATTTAATGCGATGAGCCTTGCGGGTTGGTGTGCGGCTGCTGGTGATGCGCTTCTTCAGATGTGCCGTGGCTGACACCACGCTCAACGATGCCGCTCCGCTGGCGGAGCCATTGGTATTGGCGATGCTCGTTCCAGCTGGCGCCGAGGTGGTCGAAGAGGCGCCGCTCAGGGAGCCGTTCGACTTGCCAACACTTCCGCTGCCTGTCAGCGAACCGTTCAGATTCCTCAGCTCGTTCAGTTCCTTATCCGGCTCCGAGTTGGAGCTGGCCGGACTGACACAGTCCCGTCGACTGTGTGTATCTGTCTCCTCATGCTCCGCATTCTGCTGCTGGCTGAGTTGATCGAGGAGTGCGCTCTGAGCTGCCGCTGCCGCACTGCTGGAGGCCGTCTTCTTGGGCGTCGCACTGCCGGAGGCGTTGGCCTGCAACGAGGAGAGCACAGGAGAGGCGCAGTGCAAGCTGTTGTGCACTTCCATGCTGAAAAGAAGTAACAAAAAGCAATCAGAATTTGAGTATCTTTCACAGGAACGCGTTCATTTATTGGTAAGTCTTCTCTTCGTGTCTTCGCTGATTCCGTTGCTTGACTTGGCTTTAATTTATTTTTCGTTTTATTCATACAAATGCCTGTTGTTTCTATGTTTTATGACAATGCTCTCACAGCAGCGCCTTTTATTTATCATTTTATTGACCGCTAGCACACACACACATTTCTGCTCACACAAACTGACAAACCGGTTCGGTTCTCGGCTTACCCACAGACAATCCCCCTTTTCTGCGCCCCAAGCCAAGCTATGTTGAGCAAAAGTTTTAAACTGTAATTACACTAATTTACGCAAATTGTTTCTGCTATCTGGCGCTAGATGGCCTGCTGCACTAGATTCTGTGGGGTCACGAGCACTTGCACACTTTCTGGGCCAGTCCTGGACTGCCGCTGCCGATGACGCCACCATTAGCAAAAAGACACACAGAAGAGGAGCAAAAAAACGGGCGTGCCGTGTCCTATTTGAGAAAGACGGAAAGTTGACTCAGCTCAGGTAACAAACCAACCACCTGAGAACAGGCGTGGAAGCCAGCGACTCAAGGGAAACCACACACGCAAGGGCCGAACCGTGCCTTTGCCACTCGTCTGATTAATCGTTTAAGAATTACATTTCTGTTGGCTGTTTGGAGGAATCTTAGATCACCGAATAGTTTAGGCTGCAGCTTTACACAGATTATTGGCACAGTAAGGTGGGTGCAGAAGGAAGTTGGCCACAAAGTTCACTGCCACTTGATGTGCGCTCTGAATTATCGTTGCAATGAAAATGTGTTTCAATGATGTACATACATACATATATATACATACATACATACAGAAATACATGCTGTCGATGTTGAAGTTAAATTTCGGATTGCGTTCTGCTCAATTTTGTAATCAATATTTTCCTGCGTTCAGGCATTTAGTAATTGCTACGCTATTACCTCATTCCTCAGGCGCATCTGTGGACTATGCACGATATACACATGTATGTTCGTTGGTACTTACAACTCACCACACATTTCTCCATTTCGCCTTGCCAACAAAAACTATGTACACCAAATACGAGATTTGTTCGTTTTCCTCTGCACTTTCAAGTGGTTCAAAAGTTCGCTAAGTCGGCCAACCGAAGACCTGAAGACTGGCGCCGGTATGGAGACCATGGAGTGCAGCGAGCATGACTTTTGGCATTTTGTTTGTTTGACGTCGACGCGTCGCAACGTCTAGAAGTCATTTGACCTTTTTGTGGCTCTTAGTCGAAAAGCAAAAGTGGCTTTGGAATTGTGGGTTTGGGGATAGCAAAAAGGGAAACATGGGAAAATGATGACAAGAAACCAAAGCGCTAAGCGAACCGAAACCTTTAATATCCTTCCAAATCCCTTCTATGACAGATAAGTATAAGACTATAAACAACATAAAGAATGGTCTGTGCATCTGCTAGTGCTAATAGCGCTGCGTGGTTGGTGCGTGGTGAAAAAGATATTGGTCCTCTCCACAGCGAACAACGTCACCTTCGAAGTAAATTCACCTTGATCTGCTTGTGTAGAGAATAATTGTTCTTGCAGACGTTTTTGCGGAGGGAAGTGTGTGGGAAAGTCTGTCGTGGGGAAGCATTTGCGTATTTTGAACTAAGAAAAAAATCGATAAGTTGCGGTGCGTTGGCGGCGTCCAAATGGGTTGGTTGTCTCACCGGCTGTGTGGTGTGTCTGGGCTTTGGAGAATCAACATCAGTGGCAGTAGGTAGACAGAGTCCCACACAGATATCAGATCCCCCAGAGAGGGCAGACGACACTGCAGAGATATCGTATTTATAATTAAATTTCACTTGTAAACAAGAATGAATAAATATTTGAATTGACATTCGCCCAAAATGGTCACACATTACGAAAGCAAAACTATGACGATATTCACAGACCGCCGACTGGAACCGGGAGAGCCGGAACGGATGCCGACCCGATTCGAAGGGGTGGGTGCGGGTCGTGGCGCGTTCAGTGAAACAGGTGCGTCCGAGCGCGTGGCGTTGTCCTCGTCGGTTGTTGCCCCCAACAACAGCAAAAAGCAACAAACATGGCAAACCACACATTTTGGGGCTGTGTCTAGCTCTCCTTTCTCTTCTTTTTGTTTCTTCTCCTCTCCTTTTATTTCTTTTCTACTCTTTTCGTAGCCAATTTTTCATAGTTCATAAAAATTGTTAATTAAGACATACTCGTACTCTTGCACGTGTGTAAATTTACTCGAGTGAGTGCCCGATAGCGGTGTATCTGTGTGTTTGGGCTAAACGGGGGATGGCGCGGAAAAGACAGAACAGCAATAGCCCCAATGGCGATTATATGCGACTATGCACGTACACTATCCTATCACATTTCCAGTTCGTTTATATTTATGGCCATATTTTCACTTTCGAGTGTACTCCGTCCTCTTGTGGCTGCCAAAATGTTTTAGTAGTGGAAAGAGAAGGAGGCTGCGGTGGCTTTTAGCAGGTGCACAAGTACCATCGCCACAACCCTTAAGCTGCGACACAAAAATGCGGAACAACGCCCTGTTAAGCATCGGAAGTTGTGGGATAACAAGTAGGGGCTTGGTGAGGCTTTGAAGCTGGGATGCGTCTGGTGTTAAATGAATCATTTCATGCTGAATTCCAGACAGAACCAAAGACAAAGCAAACAGCTACTGAATGGAAAAGTAAAAGTAAAACTTGCAGGGCCACTTGTGCTACTCTTTGGCACTTTCGAGACAAGACACCACAGGCCAAGGGGTTGGTTGTAGCGACTACAGCGACTGTAGGCATTGCCAGTCCTTCAAAAAAGTTACTAATCCGAGTACATCATCAGCGAAAGCCAGGCAATAGGCAAGTTCATTTATGTGTACTTTGTTTTATGTACGTATATGAATTATATATAATATAGCATTGAGCCCCATCCATCGTGTGTAAAAATATGTTAATACATAAATCGTCAGGACAGGGCAAGGCCGTCCAGGCCGCGGCTCATTTGATTTTTGAACACGCATGACCCCGATATGGGTATGCCCTACCCTTTGGCCCTGCAACAATTCAAGAGTTGCTAGAAGCTAAAAAGATTACATTCTATTTTGGCTACACCTTCGATGACGCCCTCGTCTCCATACGCAAGTTCTTGTATGAAGAATTTGTTTATCCACCAAAACATTCATACACATTGCTCCCGCATAACTCTTTCAGGTACAAATACGAAACAATGCGAAAATGCGGATATGGATGGAGGTAGAACTAATCACATATCGAGTGCACACTGTATAAGCGTGTACATATGTATCTATGTATGTGTACGTCTGCCTGCTGGCACGGCGCTTCTTGCAATCCGAGCAGCAGATGCGAAACAAGGCAGAAGGCAAAACAAAAGCTGGTAAACAAAAACCGTTGCAGTTCATTGAAACTTGAAGATTTGAGCGGAAGAGGTCGGGGCAGGGAAAGAGGAAGCGCTTCGGCCTGGGTCTGGAGTTAGCGCTGAGACTTTTGTACTTTGGACACGTTGAATTTTGAATTGGGGAACACACAAATGGCCCCACAAAGAAGACATTTAATGAAAGAAAGGTTTGGGGCTGTACTTTACTCAAATTTCATTTAGCGGAAGCGGAGCACCACTACGAATACGAAAGGAAAGAGGTTCCTTCCTAAGCGTTAAAATTGTTTAAACCGAAACTATCTATCTGTCGTTTCTTGGCCCAGATTTCCAACACATATCCAGGATGGCGAAGATCGGCGGATAGCGCCTGGGCAAGCTGCCAATTGTGGCTCGTGGATCCATACGCGTGGGTGAATGATTTATTTGCAATAAACGGATTTTTTGTGCACACTTTTCAGTTTATTTGGCCTTTTATTGGGTTTCACTTTTTAATTGAGTATCTGGGAGACTTGCTTTTGCCTGGTGGCAGCTCATTTGATCCAGTGAAAGTTTTACTTAACGGTAGAAGTAAACCTATTTACCTCTGGCTGTTACAAGCAGAGGCCAGAGCAAAGCGGCTAACACAGGCGTTCTAATGAGCTCGAGCACAGTCGGCACACGTACATACATATGTATGTGTGTAAGCCCTATGAATCATCCGGTCTGCTTTGCCGCAGAGAAGAGAAACTCAGCTTTATGCCCTGAGAACTCGTACCGAACTAGAGATAGTAGATTGGATGTTTTCGCAGAGAACGAATATGTTTACTGGCGATAAGTCAAACAAAATCAGCAGAGAGATAGCTGAGAGGGGGGGGAGGGGGACACTAATTCGCGTACGAACATGAGCACGAGTACGAGGGTATGGCAAAATCACGTTAGCTACCAGAACGGGTTGTTTTTCGGCTGGAATTTGGGAATGCACGGCTGAAGACAGTTCGATTTGTTCTCTTTTTTTACAGCCACGACCCAGCGAACAACAAAAGTGGGACTAGCTCCTGCTATCAAAATTGCGAGCGGCACTGGCTTATCTGCGATTTCTTTCCATTTTCAGGTGCGGCGCGGGCACCGCCCACCCTCCCTCCACGAGGGGGCAGATGTCAAGTGTCGCAATGGGCTATTTTTATGCATTTTGTTTGTTTTGTCGTGGCCTCACCTTGTGTACCAAACCAAACACAGTAAGTCTGCATAAGCCAACAAGGCAGTTTTTTTTTATTATTCCTTCTCCCGTTCGCTTCGCTTTCGTTGTGTTTCTCCACTGCTCTTTTGCACCAGTCACTCACTGCAGTTGGAATGGGGTTGGGGGGTGGGCTCACTCGTTGTGCTCACAAGAATGCAGCTAAAAGCACAAACGTTTTGGTATAATTAACTAAAACAAATAACACTTTTCTATTCCAATCGAATCACTGCCGCCGCTTGGTTTCCGTTTTTCGCTTCTTCGAACATTTCACTTTGGCCTGCGTTTTCGGGCTCATAATTCACTGCTTGCGCCACTCCCTCATCACAGATCACAGATAAACTCTGGGCACGAATTTTTTGAGGCCGGCCCAGTCTCGCGTTGGTACTTCTGTGTGGCTGGTATGATCGAATTTTTTACTTAATTTAATTTAAATATTTAGTGAAAAGCAATGGAAATGGTGTGACCAGTGTGACCGCGGAAATATCGATAAGATATACCGTCAGACCCTCAAAAATATGCCACAATATACCTTTTCATTCTAAAAATATACCGTAAATATAGCGGAGTTTTAAATCATTTTCCTCTATGTTGATGTTCTATTTAATATTACTAGGCAGTTAGGAGTATCGGAGCTACAACTATAATTTAATCAGATGTATCAATCAATTCTCCACAAGATTGGCTAGTTTTCACGACTTCTTTTTGTTGAAATGCTTGCAAATTAAGTTTAAAACTTAAGTTTAAAATTAAGGTCAACCAAGAAAATAGCATTTAACGTTACGTGAGTGGGAGTGGATTGTACGTATGACCATTTGTTGCTGGCCAACCCGGTAGTATGGGCATTTGTATACCCTAATTTCATAAATTAATATTAATATATAATATAATATTCAAAGCTGCTCCCAAACATTAATAATGACTTTATCTTAGACTGACATGTTTCTTGTACCTTTGCATACGCATTCTATATATCGATCTAGATACATTCTCGTTATCAATAATCTGCAAAATTACGTTGAGCTAAATCTCCAACACAGATTGACTTGTTGTGCATTGATTGCAGCCTGAGATTTCCAACATTTCCTCAATTCGAGGATCCAAGGGTACTAAATGTTGCTTAGTACCGAAAGCGAAAGCTGATCCTGACATTTCTGTGAAATTAGGTCAATTTATTTCTTTATAAAATGGATATAGTTTTACTAATACATATTTCGTAATATTTTTCAAATATAACACTATTTGACGCGATTTTTCCGCTTCGAACCAAACTAACTTTTTCTGACAGTAATGCGGTTTAGAAATGGTTTGATGATAATATTTTTTCTTTTATTTATTTTTGAACGCTTGTTTTAGAGGTAGATCTTCTTTTTTTCACATAACCAAGTATCTTACATCTGGTTGTAATGAACTTAGCTTTTATATAAATCTTATGAATACATCTATGAGGTACATCTACCCAAACTTATTTTCAAACCTACCGTTTGAAAAATATTAAGCTTTGAAAGGAAAAGAATTTGATTTTTGTGAGGTATTTTTTTGGGTTGGTTGAATAAATGTAGCTCAGCTGAATCTCCATAGATTTTGATGAGCAATACCTTAAACGACGCCGAGTTAATGCACCTAAACGCGAAATATAAGAGGACACAGGATCGGTTTTTCCTGAGTTTTAAAGTCAAAATGTAGTAAAAAACCTCACAAACATAAATATTCATAGCCATAGAAACAAAAGAATAATTCTTTAAAAAAATGTAAAGCCCTCAAACTATCACAGAAAGTCGGTTTGGTTCGAAGCGAAAAAAAAAGTTCGATTTTGTCGACTAGTGCTATCGATGGAGTTTTGTTCGTTATAGAACTACGTATTTATCCTGCTAATCATTATGGGGACCCGGAAGTTGATTGAGATTCGTTTTGATTAGTTTGAAGCGAATTCGTCTCCGAGCTTTGATCTTGGTAATCAAAACTTAGCTAGAGCATTTTCATGGTAAACAGGTATACAAAAAACGAGAAGGGACGTGTGAGACGCTTTTTACGGGTCACAACTTTTATACCCGGCACTCAGTACACCATCTGCACCTTAGCGGTATTTTGTCAAATTGTAAATGTTTTCTTCAACTGCCATCTACATTTACAACACTTCTCACACCAACACGCTCCTTTAGCTCGCCGCCCTTCCCTAGACCCACACACTGCAGACTCGCGGCAGAGGCAGAGGCAGCGCCGGCACACAAAAAAAAAAAAACAAACATAAGCTGTGGGACGGGGTGGGTTAAAAGTCGTAAGAGGCATCGGCAGGGGGAGGGCAGAGGCAGGGGCCGAGTGAAGCAGAATCAGCGTGAATGAGAGAATGTAAAAAGAACAACAACAGCTGCGGAACAGGGTGGGTTTAGCCACTGGAAATTAATTTCTCCATTCGGGCTATAATAATGATCCGATCGGATCCCAATTTGGTGATCTGATAGATATTTCCTACGGAATGGCGTTTTTAGTTTTCTTTTATCTTCAAAACTGTAGGGTTGGGAGGTTTTCGCCCTTTTGCGGAGGCGGAAGGGGGCGTGGCTCATTTTTGAAATACACTGGTTTCAGTGTGAGCATATATCAGTCTGGATGCAACATTTAGTGGCTCTAGCTCTTATAGTCTCTGAGAACTAGCCGACAAACAAGACGGAGAGACGGACAGACAGACATGGCTCTATCGCCCCGTCTATTGATGCTGATCAAGAATATATATACTTTATGGGGTCGGAAACGTTTCCTTCTGTGCGTTACATACAACCGTTATTCCCCACAAATACAATATACCCTATTTACTCTTCGAGTACCGGGTATAAAAAGCTGTCTTCGCCTTCCCAAAAAGCAATAGATTGGTACTATGGATTGACATAGCTGCTCCATCTGCAACTCTTGTGTGGATAATTTAGTTTTAATAATTCGCCCAGTTCATGAAGTTCCGCCTAATCTGCTTCAGACAATCGATGCCTCTTTTGGTGTGTGTCCGCTATGCATTATCCAGTTTGCGAGACTTATAAATAATTAAGTTTTTCCTTACGCACGTTGTACAGCTTACGCACCGAATCGTAGTTAACTGCCACGGCCTGTAAATTGTATATATATCATCGAACAATAAACTCTTACATTAACATCTAACTATGGAGAATATTAATCGTAAATGTGGAGTCAAGAGTTGGCGAAAAATCTCGTCAGTTTTGTTGTACAGTTTCGTTTATTCAATTGCTTGCTGCATACATTAATTATTACATTTAATATATTCGTTTTGTATCTTTTTTACATATTGCTATATCGCAAGCCTTCAAATATACTTCGTTTGCTGCCGTGTCCAGATCCACACACTCCAATCGTTTACAAGGACATCGAAAATAAAATCAACTAAATAGTGGTATAAATATATAAATCAACATTTAGCATTAAAATATAGCTGGTACAATACATCGTTATCGCAACTTAGAATGCCAGCTTAGAAGTCGCGCTCAGGCTGCGAATGTGAGCTAGGACTTCGTCGACTGATTTTCCAACACTCTTTTTCACGAAACACCTTCGAAGTGCCATTCAAAGCAATTCTATGAGACGACTATTGGAAAATCGGGGGGCTTTTTATAATTAACTAACCTTTCGTTTCTTTATTTTTATTATGCATTTTTTATATAATTTTAGTCTTAGTTCGACTCGACGATTAAATTTAAATTTACGACTTTAAATTTTGTGCTCAAAAGAAATTAGGCGATAAAGCAAATTAAATAATTGTAAAGCTCGGTGAGGGGACTACTTATAAATAACTGCGAAAATGCGGCGGCCATCTCCGGTTGCACTCCTTTTCAAGATTTACATCCATTTACACCGCACCACACCAGCTTCATGCTTGTGCCTGTGTATGTGTGCGGTGTCTGGGATGGTTCGAAGTGTCTTATATGCGAATGGAGAAGAAGTAGATGAGGCCAGCAAGAGCCAAGCAGCCCAATGGAACGAGCCGGTACAGAAATAGCAAATTTTGTGGCTGCTCATTCCTTTGCTTAGTCCGAAGCTGTGTGATTTCATTTTTAAGCTTGACAATGCTGCTCTCTGATTGTTCGAGTCGCTCCTTGTATACAATAAGTTCCTCCTCGCGCACCACTTGCGAGTCATTTATGGCTTGAAGGTCCTCTTCCCAGGCTTTTTCAGTGTCCAAACGGAGACTCTTATCCTGGCCAGACGCTTGACGCGGCTCCTCTGTCTTGTCCTCTGCCTTTGCCTCTGTTTCTTTTTCTGTTTCTCTTTCAGGCTGCTCTGTATTGGCGTTGCGCTGAAGCTCCTGCTCTAGCTGTTGCTTTAGATTGTCCATCTGCTCTTTCAGCGAGTGAATGTCGGCGGTAAGCAAAACCGTCTTCTGTTTGTAACTATCACACTCCTCTTGCAGCATGTCGATGGCCTGATCTGTGGGTAAATCAGGTTCAATATTTTCAATCTCCTCATCTCGCACTACCAGCGTCTCTTGGCTTTCCAACTTGTGCACTACAGATGGCGATTGGTCACTCGAGGGCTCTGGCATTTCATCGATGCCATTGAGACGCGCATGCTTAGGCGAATTGTGAATGAATTCATCGCTAGCAGCTTTTGCTGCCTCTCGCTTAATGCCCGCACTAAGCTCAGGTTTAGGTATTTTTACTGCCTGCACATCGGTCTCCTCATTGGGATCCTGTTCCTCATCCTCGGAACCAGCGTCATTAAGGATAGCCATCAGTACATCGCCGCCTAATGCGCCTCTATTGAGATCTGAATTTTTGAGCAACTTCATTACCTGCGATCTCCGAATCACCTTTTTCTTGTTATCAAACTCGATCTGTTGCTTGGACGTCTTAGTCTGAAATTGGTCTAAGATTTAATACCCGATAGAATGGAGGAATGGTATATTGGATTACCTTCTGATTGCCAGACACTGTTGTTAGTTGATCCTTTGCCTGTATGTCAGATGCTTGCTCTGCTACTGCGTCCTTCACCTGCTCCTCGTCCATACTCTCATCGTCGCTGTTGTCCTCATACGCCTCATCATCATCATCATCGTCAACGTCGGGAATTGCCGCATCCAGCTGCTGCAGGACACTCTGCTCTTGAAGCTTTTGCTCACTGTCATGCTCGTCAATGGTTTTCTGCAGACGGACAACCTGCATGCGCAGCTCCTCCATCTCACGCTCCATCTGCTCCCGCTGCATCTCCAAGCGCTGTTCTTCCTGTTCCTTAGCCTCCTGTTGCTGCCGCAGCGACTCCTGCTTGTAATCCATGTACTCCTGCTGTAGCTTCTCCAGCCGCGCATTGAACTCCTGCAGCGTTTGCTTTGATTGACCGATCTGAGTACGCAATATGACGCACTCATTCTCAGAGGTCTCAATCGACAACTGTGCCCGCGACAGTGCTTGCAAGGCATCGCAGCGCTCCTGGTACACCTTGCGCAGAGCCTCTTTGGCAGTTAATTGATACGTTGTCTTGTCCTCCAGCATTTTAACAATCTATCAAGTAGGAAGAGAGAGAGAGATAACCGAATGCTTGTGACAGTGTGAGAGCAAACAGAAGTCTAAATGAATTCTTACCTCGTTACGCAGCGAATTTTCTGGCACATTTTTCTCCATCATTTGCAGTTTCTTCTCCAGTAGATTGATCTTGTGTATTAGTTGATCCTCGGCTATCATGCTCTGCCAGCACATGGCCGAGTTCTTGCGCGTGGAATCCAGCACACCCTGCAAACTGTTCAATTTCGCCTTGAGGGTCTTCTCTCGCTGCGCAGCTTCCTGGAGAAATGAGTTCAGGCGCTGGATTTCGTCGAAGCTAATCCTATTGGGCCCGAGCAACTGCAGCTGATCGGCATCGATTGAGATGGCCTCCCGGCCATCGGGCAAGAACAGTGTCACCCTGGCTATGATGCAGCCGTGCACCTCCTGACGCGAATTCTCGATCACTTCCACACCAAACTTGACCGTGTCGCCGAAGTGTAGCTCGGCTGGATCATTGCCCAGTTTGTTGTCGTTAATAAATGTCCCATTGCTGGACTTTGTATCCTTCACCCAGAAACGTCCATCCTGCGTATACCAGAGCATCGCATGATTGCGCGACAAAACCTTACAATCAAAGATTGCATTTTCCTCACTGGCCTTGCTCTTCGCTATCAGGCGGCCAACTTTGCACTCCTGGTTCGGCTGCAGCAGTATGGTACGCGTCTCAAACTTGTGTGACTTTGCCTCGCACTGCAGCACAATTTTGGCATCGCCCTTAGCAGTGGCTGCTCCCGAAACCGTCTCTGAGCTGATGTTTAGGTCAGTGGTTGTCAATGCTAGCCCTAGCCCTGGTGACTGTGTCTGTGGTAATAACAGTGTGCCGTAGTCCGCCTCCCTTTGGTTGATGTGTCCGCCCAATGAACTGAAGAGACTGCTGGCAGGGGGAACACCTCCACCGACTGCCGTGTTGTTGGCATTGAGAACCGAATTTAGTGTCATCTGTAGCACCTGGCTGGATGCCGGCAACTGTTGGGACGTCAATCGTGTGCTAGTACCCTGCAATGTATTCGTGTCGGTGTCGGATTCCTGCACATTATTGTTCTCCTGGTTCTCGTCGGACTCCTCATTATTGCTGTCCGCCGTCTCCAGTTCGTGCTTCTCCCGCTCGATAGACTGCAGCAGATCCTGCTCGGACTTCATTGTATTTGTCGTGTCCATATTTGAAGAGTTTTGAAATTTCTTTCGTTTGACAGTCGACGCACCTCCTCCTACACCTCCTCCTCCTGCGCCAACTGCTGCGAGCGATCCCCTCGCAGCTGTTCCTGCTGATCCTCCGTTATTCACTGATGCTGCTCCGAATGCTCCCGATGCTGCTGGATCTGTTTTCTGTTCGTCATCCTTATTGTTCATCCATTCGTTGCTCACCAAGACCATCACTGTTCGGTTCGGAAAATTTGGAAAAGAATTGAATTGTGTTTTTTAGAGAAACGAAAAAGTGTAATGTTAACTGTACAAGTAATTCCAAATAAATGTAAAACTGAACTCTCATGGGCAGGCACCTTCGTTTGAGAGGAAAACACAAAACTCGATGGAAATGGATTTAGAGAAAAATGGAGTGGAGCATAGAGAAGACACACTCTCTCTCTATACTCTATACACACACAATTTTGTTAGAATAACAATTTCCTTATGGTGCGTATTGCGAGTTCAGTGCAGGCGCTGAATAATGTTCCGTATTCAGTATAAAAATAGATTCTTCAAATTATAATTGAACAAACCAAATGCGAGTGCGGACCATTTCATGTGTGTGTGGTGAGTGAGAGAAGAGGGAGAACGAACCGCCAAAAAATGATCTTACAGCGTGGAAATGGAAGTGCACCCGTGTGCTCCAATTAGAGCCGGAAGATTGCTTAATATATGCGTGCGATACGACCCTTCGTCCATTCCCCTTACCTTGGTGGTCCAGAGGTGGCAAAAATATGCTGGCCCAGAGGCCCGTGACCCGACGAGGCGGTTACAACAACAACAACAATAACACAAACAGCCACCAGTGTTGTGGGCGTGCCTGGCGCTGGGCTTGTTATGCGAGTTTGAACAATGCGAGCGCTGTGTTGCTGATTGGCATGGAGCACAGCATAACAAATTTGATTGGGGCGATGGCTGCTGTTGTTGTTGCAGCGCACAACTACATGCGAATGTTCCTGCAGCTGCACTCTAGTGGCTTGCTGGTTCACAAGTTCACAACAGAGAACGATGGGTGGCGGGTGGCGAAGAGGCGAGTCGAGTGGACGGGCTGGAGTCGAGCGACTTGCCTTTTCAAACGAAACTGAGACACAAATGAACTTTCTGTTTTACTTTCGCTTAATTGAATTTAATTACACACAGCCATAGGACGGCCGCACCGCTGACGATTGAACATTTACCGTTTTGTGATTTTGTGGAAAAAGGGAAAGAGGAATGTTTTTTTGGCACACGACAAACAATGGGTTTCCAATAGGTAAAGTGTTTATCGACAATTTTCTCATCGATGCGCTCTTTCACTCACCTTGGGGATTAAATAACTTTCTTCTCTTTTTAGGGTTTCTATAACTATTATCTATTTTATTTTCGTTTGGGCTTCGATTTTAATTGTTTTCAGTCCTCAACCCAGTGTGACCGCGGAATCTACCTCAAAAATATACCGCACGACCCTCAAAAATATAATGAAATATACCTTCTTATTTTTAAAATATACAGTAAATCGTATTCTATATATCATTTTCCTTGATTTTGCTGTTCTATTTAGTATTACTAGCTAGTAATCATTTTCTGCGCTAAAACTATAAGTTTATCCGATTCATCAATCAACTTTCCACAAGATTGACTAGTTTTTATGATCTATTTTTATTGTATTGTTTTGCAAAATAAGGTTAAAAATGTCAACCAAAATATAGCACAAAACTTTACGTGAGTGGGAAGGCAATGTTACGCATTTGATAACTTGTGGTTTGTCAACCGGTGGTTTGGTATATAATTTTTTAAAAGCTAGTTGCTTGCATCTGCTTGTAATTAGAAACTTACATATAAACTATGTCCATTGAGGTCTCCATAAAATTATTATAATATTAAGATAATAATTTGACAACTTGTGGTTTGTCAACCGGTGGTCTGGTATATAATTTTTTAAAGCTAGTTATTTGAAGATATTGTCTAAGAAACTTCAAATACAATTATTACATATTTGTATTAAAAACTACATACGGGGAACATAACCTCTACGCTAGGTAAGTATTGGAGCAAAACTGTAACAAGTTACATATTTCGACGTGGCGATTTCCCCCTTGTAAAGGCGGGTGGCCAAATAATTCCCCTCTACCCAAGGGTAGAGCAGTAACTTAAAACCTCAAAAAAAAAAATGCTAGTTGCTTGCATCTGTTGTAATTAGATAATTACATATAAACTATGTCCATTGAGGAATAAAATTATTATAATATTAAGAAATTATTCGATTTTTTCCATATTTAATTTGAACGGACAAAAATTCAGGGGCTTTTCAAAGTTAAAAATATACAAGTTAGCCGAGAAGTGTAAGAGAGACTTTTGGGAGAGATTAACATAGTAAAAACATTAAAAGAGTAAAAACCGAGAAGGGACGTGTGAGCGTCACAACTTTTATACCCGGCACACAATTTTTAAAATCTGTCACTGCAGAGTCAGGGCAGAGACGCGGCAGAGGCATAGACGTGTCAGAGGCAGCGACGCGGCACTGCGCTCAGCAGAGTGAGAAAGAATTTGCAAAAAATATAAATAAGCTGCTGGACGGGGTGGGTTTAGCCACTGGAAACTAATTTCTTCATTGTGACTATAATAATGATCCAAATTTGGTGATCTGATAGATATGGCCATTTCCTACGGAATGGCGTTTTTAGTTTTCTTTTATCTTCAAAACTGTAGGTTTGGGAGGTTTTCGCCCTTTTGCGGAGGCGGAAGGGGGCGTGGCTCATTTTTAAAAATACACTGGTTCCAGTATGAGCATATAGCAGTCTGGATGCAAAATTTGGTGGCTCTAGCTCTTAAAGTCTCTGAGAACTAGCCGACAAACAATACGGAGAGACGGACAGACAGACATGGCTCTATCGACTCGTCTATTGATGCTGATCAAGAATATATATACTTTATGGGGTTGGAAACGTTTACTTCTGTGAGTTACATACAACCGTTATTCGCACAAATACAATATACCCTATTTACTCTTAGACTACCGGGTATAAAAAACCTCAATAGTGAAGTTTTCCGACTTATAATAGGGCTTCGTTAGACTTTCTCATACTAGAATTAAAACAGGTCTCTGCTCTGGAAGTGTCCGCAGAAAATTCAGTGTGCCCATGCCTCTTATTTTCGACCGAGTAGTATTCCAGAGAGGAAGGAAAGTGAATCGAATTAATAGACTTGAGCGCCCGTACCATGAAGCACTAACTAGTTTATACTATACTATTTGGTTAGTGCATGAAGCGTCAAAGGCATTTGTTCCTTTGTATTAAACCAGTGAATAGAAACTACAATGTAAATTTGTTGTTGTTTGTACCAAATACTAATTTAATTGAAAACTTTTAAATTTGTCAAAATTGTAGAATCCAGCTCGCACCTGGCGTCCCCCGAAAAAACGTCCGTTAAGATCTACAACAGCTGGGAGGGTGGAGGCATTAGTTAAAAAACTAAAAACAAATCGGAGAATGCAAATGTAGTTACCTTTAATGGCGCTTTCAATGCGCTTGAATTCAACAAATATTTTGACGGCATCTTCCGGCGTAGTTCCAAATGCTTCATGGATGATAACACTATTCACTTCCCCATATTTTGTGTTGCACTCGTCCTTCACTTCTGGCTCAAGCTCCTCATCTACATCGCCAGGACCCACCATGTTTCGTAGCAAGACCACTTTACTGGGATCTTTCATTATTTCTGTTATGCTGGGCACAGGCTCAGGGGCAGCAGATGCAGTCGCTGTCAGTGGAAGCTGCGGCGGTGGCATAGCCATATGGCCTGGACTTGACGCTGATGGAGGCGACGTGGATTGTGGGCCCACGAACAACTCCTTTTCGTGAATGATGCGACCACCACGCTTTGAGGTCTTCTCCACCTGCAAGGCCATTGACATTCCCTGCTCTGATTTTCCAAGGCCTTGCCCATCCTTAAAGCCATACTTGGCCATTATCTTGGCAGCCACTGAACTCGCTGAGTAGGGTATTGTTACATTGGAGGAACCGTCTCCATTGTCGATGGATATCTCTTGCAGTGACGGTGGGGGAGCGATGGCAGCGCCTCCACCTTGTTTTGCGACAGATCCTGGGGGTGGGGGACTGTACTTGTCCTCGTCGCTTTGCCGCTGTCCAAATCCGCTGAACTTCATTGACGGTGGTGAGCTGTCATCCCTGTGATTTTCCCTGCGTCCACCGCGACCACGCTTTCGTTCTCTGTCCCTATCCCGATCTCGGTCTTCGCGGCCGCTTCCTACGCCGCCGGCGCCGACGGCACTGTTTCTCGACTTGTCACTGTTCTTTGCTTTTTCTTTTAGCTTCTCATACTCGTTTGGCCACTGCGGATCGTACTCATCCACAAAGTCCCAGTCGTCTTTTTTTACGCATTCAAGGACCGTTGGTGGCAGAACGGTGGCGGAAATGATAGGTTTGGCCACCGACACAGTCACGGGTGCAAAGGAGGGAGTTTCCGAGTCCGCAGGGCGCTTGGCGCGCAGATTTACCAGTGGTGTCATTAGCTGTAGATAAAATAGTTTTAAATGCGGAAAATGTAATGTTGATTAAACATCTTACCGGTTTCTTAATCGGCTCCTTCGGCTTGGGGAGCTGCGCCTTTTTAACTGCGAGCTGAGTTTGCAGCATTTTGATGCCCGATGACCAGCCATCTATTTGACTAGCTCTAGCTTTGTCTATATCGTCGTAAAGATCCATATTTGTTTTTGTTGCCTTTAAAGTCAATCAAATAATTGTTTAATATTGTTTAAATGTTCAATCGAAAACCTAATCCTGGCAGCGTGCCTATCAGTGCTAACGATGCAGCATTTTGCTGGATTATATGTATATGTTGTTGGACATACACAGAGTTAATTTTATTTAGCGTTTTCTTCGCGGAGGAATATTAAATACATACTTATTTTGATCTTATTTTTTTTGTATTTAATCGCTAGTGGTCTGCTTCAGCAATGTGACCGCGGAAGTATCGATCAAATATACCGACAGACTCTCTTAAATATACCGAAATAGACCCATTCATTTTCAAAATATGCTGTAAATACACCGTAAATCTTAAATAATTGTCCTCGACTCTGATCTTCTGCTTAATATTACCAGCTGGTTGGGACACTCAGCTTTAAACCTGTAAATTTCCTAAAATTTGCATTCAATTCTTCACTGGATTAGCTGATTTTCATGACCTATCTTTATCGGATTGATTGCAAAATAAGGTTAAAACTTGAACGGTCCACCAAAAAAAAAAAGCATTAAAGGTTACGTGAGTGGGAGGGAATGTTACGTCAATTTAAATTTTGTTTGCGGGCTAACTGATAGAGTAGTATAGTATGGGCACTTGTGTACCCTATTTGCTATCATTAATATTAAAATTCCATTTTACCAGCTGCTTTTAATTATTAACACTAATAGCTTTGTCTTAAACTGTCAAGCTTTTAACCTTTTCATATCACTTTTATGTAAATATGTTCTATATACCAATCTAGATGCATTATCCGAATCTATGATCTGCTAAATTACGTTAAGAAGGCTCACCAACACAGATTTATAAGGTTTGGTATTGATTGGAGCCAGAGACTTCCAGGCCTTTGCTGCCTGACCGCAGAGTCAACTGTGATATTTTGCTTGTATGAATTGGCACATCTATATACTGTATGGGGATAGTGTTTCCGGCCCACATCGGTATATTTCGGCATATTTCTGAGGGTCACACGCTATATTTTATCGATACATCAGCGGTCACACTGCATCTGATAAAAATAAAAATAAATCATTAAATAAATAGCCCAACACAATATGTAAATATTCACTCAGGTATAAACGTAAAATAAATAATAACGTATCTAATATGTAGGTCTTCGAGGTTCAGTGGTGCACTGCAGCTAACTGATTTAGATGATTTCATTACACCATCACAGGTTCGGTATCAGCAGAGTATGGCTACATCCCTTACAGCAATTTAATGTTTAATTCAATTTAATTTCACAATTATCCAGGAATGTATAAAGCCAGTGACGGTAGATAAAACAACATCAGCATCAAAGACTGGGGCTAAAATAACGGTGCAGGCGGATGGCTACTATGAGGAATCGGAGGTTAGTGGACCGCTGGAAAAAGGAATGATTTCTTCTAACCCATGTTGTTGGCATTTTAGAGCGGCAAACAAAAGCTGCAGAAGGTGGAAATCACTCTGCAGGATTGCTTGGCTTGCTCTGGCTGCATAACCTCAGCTGAGGGAGTACTCATTACACAGCAAAGTCAGGAAGAGCTACTAAAGGTTTTGAGGGAAAATGCAAAAGTAAAAGCCACTGGAGACATGGAGCAAGTTCGCACCATCGTTTTCACCATTGCAACACAGCCCCTACTGAGCCTGGCCCATCGCTATCAGTTAAGTGTGGAAGAAACTGCTCGTCACTTGGCAGGCTACTTTCGCAGCCTGGGAGTGGACTATGTTCTATGCACCAAAGTGGCTGACGACCTGGCGCTCCTGGAGTGCCAACAGGAGTTCGTGGAGCGATATCGAGACAACGAGGAGTTAACCATGCTAAGTTCTTCGTGCCCTGGATGGGTGTGCTACGCAGAGAAGACACATGGAACTTTTATACTGCCTTACATAGCGACCACGCGCTCGCCCCAGCAGATTATGGGCGTGCTGGTGAAGCAGTTTCTGGCTGAGAAACTTAATATACCCGGTTCACGGATATATCACGTCACAGTAATGCCTTGCTACGACAAGAAGCTCGAAGCGTCTCGCATGGATTTCTACAGTGAAGTGAATGAATCGCGGGATGTGGACTGTGTTATTACTTCAGGTAAGAGACAGGATCAGCGAAACAAATAAATAATACAATTTCCTTTTGTACCTTTAGTTGAGGTGGAGCAAATGTTGACCGAAGACGAACGGGCACTATCGGAACACGAAGCTTCAGATCTGGACTGGCCATGGTCGGATCAGCCGCCCGAATCTATGGTCTGGTCCCACGAGGCTACACTCTCAGGCGGTTATGCAGAGCACATCTTTAAATTTGCAGCCAAAGAACTATTTAGCGAGGATCCCCCATCCGAGCTGAACTTCAAGCAGCTCCGAAATCGTGACTTTCGAGAGATTTCACTGCAAAAGGATGGCAAGCCAGTTCTGAAGTTTGCCATTGCGAATGGGTTCCGAAACATACAGAATCTGGTGCAAAAGCTAAAGCGAGGGAAAGGTGCAAACTATCATTTTGTTGAGGTTATGGCTTGTCCCTCCGGCTGCGTAAATGGTGGGGCCCAGGTGCGTCCAACCACTGGCCAGCATGTCAGCGAGCTCACCCAGCAGCTGGAGGAATTGTATAAGAAACTTCCACGCTCTCAGCCTGACAATGCGCTGACGAAGCAGATCTATGCGGAGTTCCTTGATGGTGCCCAAACGGAAAAGTCAAATGATCTGCTCCATACCAGCTACCATGCAGTGGAAAAGCTCTCGACAGCACTTAATATTAAATGGTGATTTGGTTTACGATCTTGTTAATATCTGTACATACACACATCAAATTTGATTTGATTTGATTGAATATTACGTTGGGTGTGGGAAATGCAAGCCGTAATTTTTCAAAGTTTCCGCGGGTATTAACGGTAACAACTTTCACCTTTACGCGATTATAATCGGGCAGTGCGCATGTCCAACCCAGTAGCGAGAAGGGCCACGACCACCCGACCGGCTGGTAGCGGCAGCTGCATCAGGAAGCATATTTGGTGAAGGAAGGTCAAGTCGTGTTATCGTTGTCTCGTGCTGTGTGGCTGGTTGAATAAAAAATCAATGAGCTTCAAGCAAATGTCCTTAGAATCAAAAACGTTGAATATCGTTGACATTTTTAATCAGAGTTATCGTTTGGTGGGCTGATAAAATCAATACAAATGCCGCAGGACATCGAGCGAACCGTATCCTGGGAGTAGGCTTTGCGTAACCAAGCAGAAAAGGCTCTGAAAACACACACAAAAAAAAAAAGAAAATCGTGTTTATATTATATAAGAAATTCAAGTGAGTGGAGATTAACATTTTAGATGACAAGATGTCGTCTCCATCAACACATCCGTATGGCCTCTCAGCGGATGATATGGATAGTCAGTATGGAGCAACGGCCACTATACATGCCTCTAACACCGGGCCGCCACAGGCCACTAGACGTCCTCTAGGTCTAGGTCTAGAGCGGGAGGATGCATTGGAATATTTCATCAAGTTTCCCAAGCCCTCGGCAGAGAACGACTTTGTTTTGGCCGAAAATGACAGCGAGGACAACAATATTCCCATTGTAATGCTGCTGGGCTGGGCGGGCTGCCAGGACCGATATCTGATGAAGTATTCCAAGATATACGAGGATAGAGGGTAAGTGTGTGGAGCTGTCTACCGTCGGGGGGTATCATTTCTACTTCCTTCAGCCTTATTACTGTTCGCTACACGGCACCGGTGGACACGTTGTTCTGGAAGCGCTCCGAGATGATTCCTATTGGCGAGAAGATCCTCAAGTTGATTCAAGACATGAACTTTGATGCTCACCCCCTGATCTTTCACATCTTCTCCAACGGCGGCGCCTACTTGTATCAGCACATCAATTTGGCGGTGATCAAGCACAAGAGTCCACTACAGGTGCGCGGCGTGATCTTTGACTCTGCACCAGGCGAGCGTCGTATGTTGGGGCTGTATCGCGCCATTACGGCCATTTACGGAAAGGAAAAGCGATGCAATTGCATCTCAGCGCTGGTCATAACGATCGCTCTAAGTTTCATGTGGTTTGTGGAGGTAGGTTTTAGGTTTAACAAGTGCAAGAAGCGAATATCTAATGGCTATTTCTAATGGTTTTTCAAGGAAACGTTTGCGGCCTTTAAAAGCTTGTTCTTGAAATCGTCGCCGGTCCACGCCAGTCCATTTTGTGATCTAAAAAACGAAGTAAACAAATATCCTCAACTATTTTTGTACTCCAAGGGCGATGTGGTTATCCCTTACAAAGATGTAGAGAAGTTTATACGGCTGCGTCGCGATCAAGGCATTGATGTTTCAACGGCTTGCTTCGAGGATGCTGAGCACGTTAAGATCTACACCAAATACCCTGAACAGTATGTCCAATGTGTCTGCACCTTTGTGAGGAAATGCATGTCACTTCCTGCCTTTAATGTTACCGTTGCTCACCCAGGACGTGGCGAACTCCAAGAGAAACAACAGCAGATAAATCTGAAATACGATTAGATGGCAGCCGATGCAGACACTACACTACAAAATTGTAAAACAGCGAGCAGCGTTACAATTAATTCTCAAAGAAAAATGTAATTACTAACACTCAACTTTTAACGCTTTATAGTAGAAACGAATTTAAGAGATATTCCATTAAATCTTTGCAAACATTTTGCAAACTCCATCGCGCAGTTAATAAAATAAAACTTAATATAAACAAGTTGGATTGTTGTGAGACGTTGCTTTTGCAGCGTCTTAGGCTTTGTGGGGTGGAGCGAATTGTAACAGTGTGATATCAAAGCAGTATGGAAGAAAAATACGGTTGCAAATCATAATAGAGTGGCGTATTGCACTACGGAACTTTACGGACTCGAATAGGCTTCAATGATGTCCATTTCTGAAATGCGACCCAATTTATGGAATAAAAGTCAACTGCCATATCGATCTACTGTTCTAGTAAAGATGTTCATCATAGTCGTCGTATTTCAAAATTTAGAAAAATGTTTACTACTGATTTTTTACGATGAATGTATATTTATATTCTTGATTCAAATCTTCTGTGATGAGGAGCTTCACACTAGCAGCCAAGCTTGAAGACAAATTAAATTCTTTCCAAAAGTATATTCTATAATCCGTTCTTCGATAATTTTTTTTAGTGATAGTCGCTTTTCTGCGTTTAATTTTGCAGCGAAATCCATGCGTACATCTGGCAGTAGATCAATTTCATTCCTGTCATACAGGACGTCATGTTTCCCATCTTATTATTCACCGACTCGGATCATGAGGATAGTTGTCATAAATTTTCCAACCTGATCAGCAACAGTGACGTCACATTCCGTGCACACTTACCGTTTTATGATTTGACATTTTTAGTTTGAACAGTATTTTCGTAGCAATCCAATAAAAGGAGTCCTGAAAACTATCAAATCTTGCGAAAAATCAATTCCTCAATCGGATCAAATTATATGTTTAGGGCTGAGAGTCTTAGATCTCTAGTAAAATAAAGCCGAATATCAAAGTTCAGGAATAGAATTTCTGGTCGTGAAGAGGTAACGATTAACCCATTGTCAACCAGTGGGTATTTAAATAAATATTTATTATACAACTTAAGGAATTTTAGCTCAGTGCGGGTGAAAGATATCTTTCGTATTTTTTGTAGATAAAGAAAAGTAAGAGTTTACAAACAGTATTAGCGGGGCAGTAATAGTGGGGCTACGTGGAGTAAGTTTATTTTTTCCTCGGTAATTTTACGGTATTTAGTTCGTATATTTTGGTATATTTCTGTGCGTCAGTCACACTAATTTAAATGCATACAAGATGGCGGAATGTGCGAAGAAGAAGAGAACAAAAAGCAAGCGAAAAATCTTTAATCGTATTTAAATGTATAAATGCATACAACTCCACATCTTTCAAGCTTCAGCACTCTTCTAAAGCAAAACTAATAAACTTTAAGCCAACCCAAGCACAGCTGCCACCGTGTATTTGCTCCTCCACACCGCCAAAGAACTAAGTTGAGCCAAAAAATCGAAAATCTTGCGTCGACGGACGGCCCGAAGGTATCCATCCCTACACGCAAGAAGAAAAGTCAGTCATTTATTGGCTGAGCACTGAGAAGCGTTTTCGCCAAATTGAGGTAAATGGTCAATTAACCCAGAGCAGAGGGTTCCCAGTCCCCAGTCCTCATCGCTGACTCCTCGATGCTTTCCCTCCATCGGAAGATACGCGCATCAGCACACCATACAACAAAATTCGACACATTTCGCCGCCACGCCGCGCTCTGTGTTTGTGTGTGTGCTGTGGGCCCTACTAAATGCTTGGATATTAAACATTTGAAACATTTGCAGCCTCCCAGAGCATAGACCGGATTCCTGCCCAGGCGGCTAGGGTGTTATAACCAACGAACTGCCCCGCCACAGCCAGAAGCAGACTATGTCTGACATTCTGCTTCAACAGAATCCACAAGAGCATACATAGCCATGGCTGCGACGAGGAAACTGCAAGGTAAGCAAAACAGATTTCCTTTTCAAAGTGTTTTTGCACTGCTTCGTGCGTCTGCGTTCTCAGCTGTGCAGTGCAATGCACACAGTGCTCTACATATGCATGCGTCTAAAGACTAACATCTGTATTCTTTTTTTATTTTCTCTGTGTATGGCTAGGCGAAATTGATCGATGCTTAAAAAAAGTAGCCGAGGGCGTAGAAACATTTGAAGATATTTGGAAGAAAGTACACAATGCTACGAACACTAACCAGAAGGTAAGCAGTGTAAACTGATCTGTCTAACGGCAGATTGTATTCAACACCAACACCATAAACAGTAATCAATATCGCTGTATAAATGAATCAATCGGAGCTCACCTCAACTCTCTTTTCTTTCCCTCCTTTGTTTTCACAGCAAAAACATCTGCAGGAGAAATATGAGGCAGATCTCAAAAAGGAAATCAAGAAGCTTCAGCGATTACGAGATCAAATTAAATCGTGGATTGCATCGGCCGAGATCAAGGATAAAAGCGCATTGCTCGAAAATCGAAGACTCATTGAGACGGTGAGCAATTTTGAAATCATTTGATTGTGCATTGGATGTGATTGTTGTTCTTTCATTCTCTGACAGCAAATGGAACGTTTCAAGGTGGTCGAACGTGAGACAAAAACAAAGGCTTATTCCAAGGAAGGCTTGGGCGCCGCACAAAAAATGGATCCAGCGCAGCGGATCAAAGACGATGCGCGAAATTGGTTAACCAGCTCAATTAGCTCACTGCAAATACAGATTGATCAATACGAAAGCGAAATTGAGTCTCTGCTGGCGGGTAAAAAGAAACGATTAGATCGGGATAAGCAGGAGCGCATGGACGATCTACGGGGCAAGCTGGACAGGCATAAATTTCACATAACAAAGCTGGAAACTCTGCTTCGATTGCTCGACAACGATGGCGTCGAAGCGGATCAGGTGAACAAAATCAAGGACGATGTCGAATACTACATTGATTCGTCTCAAGAGCCCGACTTCGAGGAGAATGAGTTCATCTACGACGACATCATTGGCCTGGACGAGGTGGAGCTCAGCGGTACGGCGACAACGGACAGCAACAATAGCAACGAAACCAGTGGGTCGCCTAGCAGTGTCACCTCCGGTGGCAGTCCCTCCCAATCGCCCGTTACAGTACAACAAGTGCTGCCGGCATCCGTGCAGGCGGCAGCGAATACTGGTAGCAGCGCAGCCAGTGCAGCCTTGTTCCAGCAACAGCAGGCCGCCGCCGCCGCGGCCCAGTCGAATGGCAGCAATGTGGGTTATGCGAGCGATACCAGCGCAGCCTCATCATCGGCAACAACATCGACGGATCCGGCGGGCAGCACGGCTACCTTAAGCGGAGGTGTAGGTGGAGGCGGAGGCAGCGGCGATAAACGCAACAAAAGCAGCGAAAGCAATACCAACAGCAAACCGAAAGTATGTGTTATCAATATCATCTATAACAAATAGAGGCAGAACATTTATTTCCCTCTTTTTCTTAGCCTCAACCTCAGCAGATCATTAAGCCCACGCCCGTTCGTGCGACGCCTAAGGCGATTCCGGGTAGTGAACGTAAGTACCTGTGCATGAGCGACGATCCTTAATGCCGATTTAACTCTTTTTCAATTGTTTAGCTCAAGCAAAGATTGTCAGCTCAACGCCCAGCAAAACCCAGCAGCTGCCCACGGCTGCAGCGGTGGTGGCTGCCTCAAGCTCAGCGCCGAGCAGCGGTAGTGGAAGCGTCAGCGGCAGTGGCTGTGTCAGTGGAAGCTCTAGTGCTAGTGCAGGCACGGGGGCGGCAGTATCAATAGCCAGTGGTCACAATCCTGCCGTACAGCCGCATGCCCCAACGCCTGGCCTGACTGCCGCCAGCATCGCAGCTGCAGCAGCAGCAACCGCAGCAGCCGTCTCGAGTGCAGCAGCAGCTGCTGCTACACCAGCGATTGCAAGTATCAGCAACGTTCAAGGCCAATCTGTGATTCAAGCAACACCAACAATTGCATTTTCGGCGGTGGCAAAACACAATACATGTATGCGCCACACACTCTGGCTTGCGTAAAGTTCTTTTTTATTGTGGAGTCCTCTTTTTTTAGCACTCCTGGAAAATGGTCCTGTACTGCAACAGCCAACAGCCACAACGGTAGCCGCCATTGTGGGAGCCGGACCGGCACAGACCACACAACAGCCACAACACCAGCAGCAGCAACAACAACAGCCACAGCAGCCGGCACAATTATCCAATCTTCAAACAAATTCCTCACACTTACAAAATGGTATGATCTGTCGTAGGACTCTTCCCCTGTGCCATCTAACGTAATCCATTTGATATCTTGCAGGTCTACCTGTCTCGGTCAGTAGTAGTGACAGCAATAGCAATGTCGTTGATGCAATTTCATTGAAAACCATGGCCCAGGAAGCCATCAATCGATCCGCGATCGATGCCAACTCGCTAAGCCAGCAGCAGCCACAGCAGCAGCAGCAACAACAACAGCAGCAGCAGCAGAGCAACATTGACACGAGGCAGCAGCAGCAGCAACAGCAGCAGCAATCACTCCTACAACAGCATTTTAGCACGGAAAATACTGCCAATCAGCCGCAGCAAGTGGCAACGCAACAACAACAGCAAAATGCGGCTGCAGTTGCAGCTGCAGCAGCGGCGGCAGCGGCTGCAATGGGTACAATTGCGGCTGCAGCACATGCCGCGGCAGCCAGCAGCAACGGATCCACAACTGGCAGTGGTCTCATGAATCTGGCAAATGCTGCAGGTCAGCCAACCAGCGGTGGTGCCAAGACGCATGCTTCGCAACAGCAAATGGCCACAACGGAAGCGCACATTCCTACACTGCTGGGAGTAACGCCATTGGGGCCAACGCCACTTCAGAAAGAACATCAGATGCAGTTTCAAATGATGGAGGCCGCCTTCTATCACCTGCCACAACCCATGGATACGGAGAAGCTGCAAACGTATTTCCATCGCGCCCCAGTGCCCACACCAGCACACTACCCCCAGGTTAGCTTTCATGTGAATAAATAAATGCAATGAATTACCATTTGGCAAATAATCCAGGCACAGCTGCCCATATATGATACTGTTGAATTTTATCAACGACTCTCAACGGAGACGCTGTTTTTTGTATTCTACTATATGGAGGGCTCCAAGGCCCAATATCTGGCAGCAAAGGCACTGAAAAAGCAAAGCTGGCGATTCCACACCAAATACATGATGTGGTTTCAACGGCATGAGGAGCCCAAGATTATCAACGATGATTACGAACAGGTGAGCGAAGCAGCAGCAATGGCTGTAGAATCAGCCATTACTGACATTTCCACCTCTCTTAATTCCCCCAGGGTACGTACATCTATTTTGACTATGAAAAATGGAGTCAGCGAAAGAAGGAGGGATTCACCTTTGAATACAAGTACTTAGAAGACAAGGAGCTAAATTGATAATGTTGCCGATGTGTGTTGCTTCGTCTGTCTATAAGAAAATCAATCCATTAAAACAATAAAAGAAACCAATACCATTTTCATATAGAACCACAATCCAATCCACTCCCAAACCCACAACACACAAACCATAACCCATACATACGCCTAGAAACAATAAACAACAGAGGGAGAGTAAGAGAGAGATCGATCAAGATGAAGAAAGAAAGAAATTAAGCGATAACGCGAGCAAGCTGTAAAGATAAGTTAAACGGAAAAAATGAAGTATGATAATTGTTCGGAATGCATGTAAAAAACATATGCTTTTTTTATATAAATGTTTTATTGTTTATAACGTTTATTTTTTTTTGTTTTACAAAATTCGAACCATCCAGGTAACAAGAGCAAACAAATTGAGAGATAATGAATAAGAAAAACCATGCAGAGTCCAGACCCTAGACCCCTCCGCTCCATGTCGCTTAGCGTTCCTTCATATCCAATCCATAAACATGCAAATAGCATTGCAAATAGTTACACGTGATTCCCCCTCTCAACTCCCTAATCGCATAATGTAAAAAAGTCGCATTCGAGTGCAGTACACTTTTAATTCTAAAAAAAGAAAACATAAAAATCATTTAGCGCACCGATTTTTATGCGTTTTTTGTCGCGCTTAGAATAAGACGCGAACGAAACAAAAACAAACAAATTTCAGCTGATCTTATTTAAATTTATTATGTAATTACGATTACTAAGATCATTGATTAAGTTGAGCATGATGATGATGATGATGATGATGTGCCGCAAGGCGAGGAAACAACAAATTAATGCATAAATGAAACACTTTTTTTTAAGTATAAGAACAAACAAAACAAAAATAAAAGCGTGAGTAAATAGTTGAACTTATCCGGCGTTCTGTTCTTTTGATTTTTTCCACACATATGTACCATATATCGGAACGGAATGGTTTTAGCTTTTGTTCAGTTTGGATCTGCTTCAAATGGCACAAAATTAAAAGCTAAAACTGGTTCCATTATTGAATTTTAGATCGTTTGTTTTTAGACCCTGATTTCCCGATGGATTGCTTAAATGTTAATATAATTAATAGTCAAATGATTAATGGATAAAGAAAATGGAAAAATTAACCGCATTTTAGAATGTTTTTGCGTAAATATAGCATTTTTGCTAGCAATCTATGACGAATATTTAAAAATTTTACAAAAATAGTTTTAAACGCATGCAAAACAAACACACACAAAAATGAAGATAAATACAAATTAAAAACATTTTAAAGATTAATGAAAATGCATCAAAATATACATGACATTCAATTACATTACATGGACTTTATTGTACAGTTTATAGAACGGATCAACTCAACAATGATGAAACTTTCTAGTTCGTGCCCCAAACAACATCATCTTCGTCCTGCTCGTCGTGACCCCAACCGTGATTCGCCTCGAGATTGTCGTCATTGGGCGTCTCTGTGGCAGCCGCAAAGCGACTGGCATCCACTTGAATCACCTCTGTGGGGCCACAGCTGGGGACTACTTTGCATTCTATGACCGGCTCCATGTCCTTGAAGAAATCATACTCTGTCGACGCTGATCTACCTGGTGGCGTAGCCAGCTGCACCTGTATATCGAGTGCGCTAAGATCATCAATGAGCTTGCGACTTGGTTGCGCAGCTTGCTTGACCGCAGATTGTGATATGTTGGAAGCGGCGGTGCGGTAGGAGTCGCTCGAAGAGGCCTGCGTCGCCTGGGTGGAGGCACTGCTGTTGGTTTCCAAAATATTCAAAGCCAGCTCATCGGTTGCCACGAGTTCCTCCAATCCTGCTTGCTTAACATGCAGACGCTGCAGCTCATCTGTGGTATCCCAGTCAGACCAGACCTCCTCGTCATCGGCGTTGATTAATGTGTTGTCGTGGGTGGAACTGGTGGATTTATTCGAATTGTTTTCAGGATCGCTGCTGCGGTCCATCTCTAGAGGTTTCTCATTTAAATTCGTTAGATCCTTCTCGTCTTCACCGCCATCAGGACTTAGCCTGAGAGACAGAGGAGCTACATTGTTTTCTGTTGGCAGCGGACTGCCGGAAACCATGAATTCGTCGTCTTCTGCATCTATGGAATTGCCATTCATCAATGGAGTTATGGAACGCGGCTCTGTCAAGAGATTCTGACTGTCTGTGGATACAGCTGCATGCGGTCGACCATCGGAAAAGCAGCGGCGACGATCTCCACCCAGAACTTTATTAGCCCCTAAAATTGGCACCAAATCCGCCATGGATCTCAATGTTTTTGCCACTAGCACGTCATTGGTGTCGCTCATTCCGAGCTGCAAATGCGGCAGAATCTCACTCTGTAGCTGCTCATCGTCCAAGAGACGAATGTATTCCATAAAATAGTCCAATAGTATCAAACGGATTTGTGCATCTCGGAGGCGGAACATCTTGAGTATGTGTGGAAGAAGATATTGTACGTAGGTCTGTGGAGTAAACAGTGAGGCCGTTGCGCCATCTGTGGCCTTCGTTCGCAGCACGTACGGTAGCACACACTGCTGAGCGGTGGGATCGAGCAGAACCATCCTGGAAAGCAAATCGCTGGCAAGTTGAGAGGCGACCATTTGCTCATCGAAGCAACGCAAACGTTCAATTAAAGTGCTAAAAAACTGCTGGCGCTCTTGAATCGACTTCAGCGGCAACTCAAAGAGAAAGGAATGTATTAGTACAAACTCATGATTAAAGTACGGATGCAGCAAGACGGCTGACAGCTTCGGTCTGAGCTCTGTGTTCTTGTGTTTCAAGTGTGTGCTGCAATATTCGCGAAACTCAGACACATGCGGAGTACCAGCGTCGCCGGCAGAAGGTCTACATTTATCCAGGACACTTTCGCATAGAGATGCAAAAGCGAACTGCTCAAAATCATCCCCGAGGTTTTTGGGGTCCATAAAAGTGCTTGCCAGATCTAGTAATTGTTTGTTGACCTCCTTAGCCTTCCAAACGTACTCGAAGCCAGCTAGACGCCAACTCCCACTGTCTGTCACGTAAACGGAATGTGTGCTTATGTTCAAATGCCTTGCCAGAGCCCTTTCAATCAAGAATATGAGGCTGCAGAGTATCGTTCGTAGCCCGAGGCAAACTTGTATGTCGCTCTGTTTAGCCAGCACATCGTTAAGTGGCCTCACTCTCTCCGTGGCAAGATGCTTCTGTCCGGACTGGTCCCATGTTGTCACATATTTCAAAATGTAAGGATGTCGATAGATCGCGAGGTTCTAAAATAACTCGCTTGATAAAATTCTCGCTTGAGTAAATAAAAACCTTTTCATACCTTAATGGCTCTCTCCATGGGGCCCACTGGACTCCATAGCTGGCCCTTCACCAGAATTTCTCCCTGAAATATGGACAGGAGCTGGCCACCGCCTCCGCCCTCTTCATTGGATGTCGTTGGGGATTCTGCATTGTATAGCGCCCAGAAGTCGTTTACCTCAACCGCATTTTTGTCAATAATTAAGCCTTTAAATTTACTTCCTTCATTGCCCATTGTCAGTTGTCAGTATCAGTGTGACCGCGGATTTACCGATTACAAACCCTCAGAAACTTACCATACTATACCATCTGATTTTAAAAATATACCGCAAACTTTCCTCGTGCATTTCGTGAAATTTTTTTTGAAAAAGTAAAGTCTTTGTTGTTGTGCATGGATGCACATACCATTTACGTTAGTAACTTTACGCGGCTCACTCAATGTGTTCACCTATTTAAATAGAGGGGGGTTAATTGGGTTAAGTTCGCTTGTTCTTCGGTATATTTATGGTATATTTTGAAAGTAAGATGTATATTTCGGTATACTTATCATCCCTAGTAAATAAAATAAACAAACAAAAAACAGGAACACTTTCGGATATTTTTGCAATTTATAAACCGTTCGATCTTATTATATATTATCGTTATTATACTCCGGAGCTCGGAGCCAAAACAGTATCTATTCTCCAACGAATAGAAAGTTACTGCACAAAAACAAACAAAAATGCGACGCCGCGAACTGCAAACTATTCAACTAAAGCTATCCGAGCTGAAGGAGTATGAACAAGCCAAGCTGGAGCGGCTCAAGACACGCCAGCAGGGGATGACGCCACGTACGCCCACTCCTCCGTCGGACAGCGATGTTTTGGCGATGCCCTCAAGCAGCATTCCAGAGACTAGTGGCGCCAATGAGACCGAGGAAGATGCGTGTTCCACGTCTAAGCCCACCTCGACTATGTAACTCGCCCTCCACTTCTGGATTTGCTTATGATATTCGTAAGTTGACATTTTATTTCCGTTTTATGCTTACATTCGATAATCATCCGGACTACTGTTGCTGTTCTGGAAACGAACCGTTTCAAAGCCGTCGACAAGGATCTCGCGATCTTCCGTGTGATGGCGCTCTCGCAACCACTGCTCTCGAACGGGCACATAGCGGCGAAGTCCAGGCAGTTTTCGCCAGCACCGGCGTTTATACAAAAGCCACATAAGCGACAGCGAGCAGCCGAAGAGGAAGCAAACCAAGAATATGCTTACGCCGCGTGAATGGGACGAGGCTACTTTTAGCTGTGAGACATCTAGCGATGTGTTGAGCAGCTGCTTTGTCGGTCTACTGTGAGGCAGTAGTTGCTCCTGATCACTGCACCAGGTGATTGCCACATAAGGCGTTAGCACGTCACCGGCAAGGGAGTGCACCCGCACGGCACATTCGCTGAACGAAACGTTCAGCTGTGAGACGTACACATACCCGGCAGTGGCGTGCTGCAGCCTAGTCAGGCAGCTCATATGGCTGTCGGATAGATTGTTGCGATAGTGCAGAACATAGCTGACCACTTGGCCATTCGGTTGGGCGGGCTCGTCAAATCGAAGGACGTACTTATTTGTGTCTGGGACACGACAGGCTGTCAATTGGGTCAGTAGATCCGCTCCCAGTGTGTAGTTGGTGCGCGTGTTGAGAGTGGTATGGCTGCTGCATCCCAGATCGCTGCAGGCCTGAAGCTGTAGTGAGTAGAGTCGATACCGCTGCAGGTGGCGCAGTTCGTATTCCGAGGTATTGAAGGGGAGTTGCACCCTCATCAGACCCGTCTGCTGCTGGTCCACATCTTGACAATGATCATGGTTGTCGAGGCTGCAGCGATACTGCTTTCGCATCTCATCAATGAAGTGACTATCGTCAGCCATCTCCCTCTGGTGTGCGCAGCAATCATCGTAGTCTTCGAACGCTCGCCATTCTTCGCCGTCCATGTCTTGCCATATGTACGACGGCTGGTGGCAGTAATCGCGGCTATCCACATACGCTTCATCGTCTGCCAGCTCGTATACAGTCAGTATATAGTGGTGGTGGTCATGACTCTTCAGCCGCACTGTCAGCGAACTATCCGTTTTCCTTACAAGTTCCAGCAGCGGGGGCTGTGGTATGTCCCGTTCTGTCTGCACATAGAGCAGATCGCTGCGTGCCTCTTGGCTGAGATCACCACCGAAAGTGCGCAGCAAGCAGGCATACCGTGTGTCCGGCTCTAGCACGTCCAACACAAAAGTGTAGTGGGTACCATTTTCGGAAAGTTCATCAGGGAAGAGCAGGCGGCGCTGCCAATTGATTCGTATGCACACTGGCGCCTCCAGTTCGCTTTCCTCTGGATAAAATATCCCTGGTGGCAATTTTCTGTGAATCAATTCAAGCTCAAGGCTGGTCTCGGACTTGGACCAGCTGAGTTTCACAGTGCGATGTGTGCGTTTCTGTAAGTGGTGGGATTGATGAAAATATAATGATATGTGAATTGACCCAACTTACTTGTACAGTTAACAACAACTTTGATGGACTGCAGAGAACCTCTTGGTCGCTAGTCTGCAATGAATCCAGTGACCTGTCGTGAACCACCACGCCTTGGAACTCCTTCATGTGGGTGTTGCACAGCTTATTGTTGCGATGCATAAACATGCCACCCTGCACGAACTGCAACTTACTCTCCGGCTTCCAAAGTTCGCTCAGCTGCTTGTTGTCATATAGTATAAGAGCGTATTGCCGATTCTCCAGAGGATCTCCATGAATCCGCTCCAAATTGCTGAGGAATTTCAAGCTTCGCAGCTGGGACGATCTACAAAAAGCCAGATGAGATTTTACTTACTGACGACAAGCAACTATTCCGATTCCTACCGATATACTTTAAGGTGTCCACGTATTTCGCGTACGCTGGTCAGGCTCTGGATGAGCTGCGTCTCGTTCACTTGATTGCGTATAGTTATAATCAGGCTTCCATTCACTATCTGGCAGCCTCGAAGCTCCTCTGCGTCCCCCAGATTGTAAATGGTGATGGCATTGTTTGACGGTTCGGGCGAGCACACACTGATGCATGCCTCCTTCTGACCACAGCGGATGCATTCGTTCCTCTCATTAGCCTTGTAGCCACTTGGACAGAAGCCGACGCACTGAGCACCGAATGTATAGTGGTTGTGCCTTTTCACGCACTCCTCCTCGGTATAGCAGCGCTGATATTGCTCCAGGAGATACCTGTAAAGGTACTCCAAAATAAATATTGATCAAATATAAAACATACAAACTCACTTGTGTGCGGGGCACTTTTTCACACAGACGCCTCCATCGCTGATTGCGCGACAGACTTGGCAGTCGCTTGCTGATGCGTTTCGGTGACATCCGCCCAGACACTCGTCATGGCAGTAATCGACTTTTCTGTTAAGAATAAAGTGGATCAACAAAGGGGCCCATGACTTGCCTCTACCCTAAACTTTTACTTACACCTTAAAATGGGCGACATTGTCATTTTGGGAGCGCTGACATTTGAACGTTGACCAGCAGTAGGAGGAGTCGCATCCCCTACAAACACTTGCATTGCATTTACTGGATCCAACCATGATGTGATTCTCTCCCCGGCTAAGGGTCAAAAGATCCCAATTAACCTATTTGGTGAGTAGGAAAGATTCTTAATTACACATGACAACGGAAATATTTCACTTTTTTATACAAACCCCCTCGTGCTGACAAAGTTTGGGGCAATTTCCTATATATACATGACCGCGTTGTATAGCCACCAGCGAGGGGAATTCCAGCTGGAATTAGACCGTTGATTGAGAGTTTTCAACTGCCAACTGGCTGCTCTTCTCTTACGTATTCCAAGTCCAGCATACTGGTCACTCCCAGGGCGTAGTTAAGAAACAGGCGACGGCCGCGTATAACAGTTAGATTTGGGAACATTTCATCGACGCGGGTCAGGCCTCGCACCTCCGTGAATATCATAAATTCGGTAATTTCCCTTAGCATTGGAAACTTAAACGTTGAGTAGTTGCAGTAAGGAGGAGTGGTTATAAGCGTGATCATCACATAGCCGGTAATCACGGTGCAGTTGTCCAGCAGGTGCATTTTGCTGCATTCGTTACGGATATCGATGCTGGTGCACTCGTGCTCCGTGCCTGGAGCAGACACAGATGCACCCACGCCGCAGCAGGCCGTGATCACCAAAAGCATCAGACCGACAGCTTTGTGGCCGAATCCCATGTTGAGAAACGGTTTCTTGTTCTCCGTTTCTCCTTTCGATCCGATTTTCGTACAGTTATTTACATCCATACATATTATTATGTTTGTATGTGTGTGTGTTTTTCACTACACTGTCTTCCTTTGCGCTCTTTCTGCCGTGCGGCTAATTAGCGCCCTGTCTGGCCGCCCATCTTGATTAGTCCAATGTTTATGAGAGCTTGCACTTCGCGCTGATATTTTAACTCGCAATCGGGGGCGAAAAATCACACGAATTTGCGCACCCGAAGCGGTTTCTTCTGTTTGTTTTTCGGACACTGCTGATGATGATGTACTTAGCTGTCGAAAATCTCCAGAATAAGCAAATACTTGCACTCACGCACACAAACACGCAAACAAAAACGTTAGGATTTATTTATTTTTTTGTTTTCTGTTTGTATTATTTCATTTCTCTTTCGCTATTTATGTTATTTATTTTACGCTCTATTCCTATTCCCTGTGCACCCGCTGCCCCTAGAATTCGTTCATTCTGCCTTCTTCTCTTTTCGCAGTGACTCAGTGCTCGAGGGGGATGGTGAGCGAAGTTCATTCCGAGCCGGGGTGATCGAGGACCATGCATGCTATTTCATGGGTTGATGGGAGTGGGAGGATGAAATTCGATGAGCCGGAGTCGAACTCTTGATTGCGTTAATATGTATTTTATGTTGGCATTTAATACAATTTTGTAACAGCAAAAAATTTTTTCTGTATATTTTCAGAGACACCTTGGACTTGGACTGAAACCGCATCATCTTCACAATTTCGCACAACTACCAAATATTTACATGTATCATGTATTATTTTGCTAAACAGAATAGAGATGCGATGTCCGCAGCTACACTTTCTGTTTGGTTAGTTAGTCTGTAGTTATTAAGAACTCTTGTAGTTTATCATAAAAACAAACCCCAAACTATTAAATGTAAGCCATCACACAAGAATAAATAAATCGTAGACTGCTAAATGTTTCACGACGCCACCTGCAGTTTTGGGGATGTTGTTCCAATGCACGCTGACGATGTGCCCCTCGCGACGATCATTTGCCGACTGGCGGTCTGGGGACCGGACCTCGTCTGTCTGTACAGAGCTAACAAATTGATTTTTCATTTAGTGTCTTATGCGTTCGACCCTGGAGTCGCCAAAACAGTATATACACTGCCTCAGCGGTGCCTTTTCTACATTACAGCAACAGACGCGGGGCCGTAAATTGATTAAAAGGGCATTTGATTTCCGAGAAAATGTTAGCAGTCGCTTGAGCAAGTGGTGTCATACCCCTTATGCAATGCATTGGGATCGGTGTGAGCTCATTGATGCCCATGAATTCTCTCAGTGCAGCCTGCTGGTTTTAACTACTTGGTTCTTGGTCCGCACTCAGCTGACTGCAACAGCTGGCTGGGATTTTAAATCAGTCCCAGACACACAGCACATAGACGTGGCCGACAGACAACAGGAAATCAAGCCAGAGGAGTCCTATAAACGTACTGAACAGTGAACAAAACTAAACTATGGCAGCAGCATTCACGCATTCAAGAAGTTGTTAACTTAAACGAGCAAGAAAGAGAAGTTCTGATAGCATACAGTCCATGCTGATTCATAATGTAAGCAACGAAATTTGTACACACTTGAACACTGGAATAATAAATAATATCCTTTTTCTACAGTATTTGATAAAACTAATTGTAGGGAAAGAAAGTAGAGTGTGGTGTGATATATTTGTCGCTTATATAGGTACGTACATACATACATATGTGTGTACGGCTGTACATGGATTGGATGTAGTGTAGAGATTTTGTTGGTACCAAACACATGTATATACATACATGTAGATACTGTTGTCACTCTTTCGAAAGAACATCTCGGACATGGAAACCCACCCCGAATGATCCGATTGCGACACAGTCAGAAGGGGCGTGCCAACATCTCCGGACAAATACGATAATTTCAGTGTAATATTTGGCTGCTCTATACACTTGCACTCTTTTGCCGTAGCCTGCACTTGCTCTGTGAATACCGGGCATACCAAAGCCGTACAAGCTAGTATATCGCGAATTCCGGAGAGGGAAGCCCATTTTTATAGAAGATCGTTTAATAATTTTCAAGCCGCAACGAATGGTTCGTGTCAAAGTTCAATTAATTCAATTAAATTAATTGATTGGGTGCATGCGTGTGCTTTGATCCACATATCAGATCAATGGAAAGTGCTACACATGTACAAGTTACATGAAAACATGTAAATAAATACATCCTACTCGTATGGGCATACCTACAATACTACAATACCTACACTGGCGCCCTTTAGACTGCCATTACGATTGCTTATGCATATTCTCACAGGTACAATAACATGTGTTCTAGTGTTAGATTGCAAATCCCTTGTACCGGTCAGAATTGGGAGACTCAAGGGCGCCAGTGGAGATATATCCGAGCAGACAGAGGCCCCAGCAGATCAGAGGCACATCTAGATGTGCCATCTCAGGCTGACAAATACTTCGCTCGCTTTCCCACCACCATGTTGGCGCGTGTCTCCTGTAGACAGATCGGCTGTGTGGGCACTACCGAGAACACATATTAATGGGAGCGGGAGAGGGAGGGCTGCTATTAATCTTAAGTGCGGCTGCTGTAGCAACATTGTTGCATGACGTGACCCAGTGATTAATCTCGCTTTGGGCTCACGTTCCTTTAATGGACATAATAAAGCAATAAGAATAAGCACAAACAAGTTGGCCAGCAATCTGGGTACCGCCCAAATGACTCGGCTCGGCTCGCCAGTGATCTGTTGGCTACTACGTGGCCCCATTTTAATTAGCCAATCGATTTCGGGTCTTGAGATCTTCCAGTCCCGTGTCTGTAATGACTCTTATTTTTTGGTATATTTTCAGAGTGACGGCAATAAAGTTTTACGCTTCAAAATTTAATTCGAGCCCTCCGAAGTGTCCACCATCATCACGTTTCGATTATTGCCAATCTTTCTGTCGGGTCAGCAACGGCAACCAACAATTTCAAGATTTCAAACAAAAGTTCAGATCTCAACGGAACGAATTATTAATACAATGTTGTGATGCGTTGTGTCAGAAGAAGATGTCGGTCTTCGCAAGTCATAAATTTAGATTCTCTTAGTACGTGGTTTCGTTTACTTACAAATAATTTAACATTGAATTGTAGTCACATAAAAAATGGACTGACTTAAACTTCAGCTCTTGACACTTTCATGCCGAATCGTCCAAGGAGACCCCCCGGGAGAAACCGAGAGCGAACATGTTCACCAATTCTAACTAAGCAACTGAACCAACTGGTGAACAGTAAGAAACTGAGACAAGTGATTGAGGTTTCTTCACACACTTCAAAGTGAGCAGCTGAGCTAAAGTTTACAATTTTAAACACAAAACTAACGCTAAAAGTTTTCTCTGAAGTATTCTCCATTAGTTTGCACTTGTCGCAGCTCTTGATGGTCAAGCAAACTTAATATAAACAAAATATGGTAAAATATTCAGATAACCCAAGCCAACGCTCTCAGCCTCAACCTCATTGCGTGCGGGCTAGTCAACGGTATACCGGAACAGATCTTATCAACGATATCTACAGCACAGTCAATTTGGTCCTGGATGAAGACGCCTCACCGCACAGCATACATGGGAGCTCTAGTCCGTCTCAGCACTCGCCGAGCAGTAGCAACAATGTCTCGGACCTGAGCAATGACTCTAGCCCCGAACAGGGCTATCCAGACTTTCCCCCCAGCCCCGATTCCTGGCTTGGTGACTCGTCAAGTACCGACAACACCAGCAGCAATAACAACAACAAGCATTAACAGCATTAACGATGGTGGCAGAGGCAGCGGCAGTGGTGCAGCGTGCGAATTTGAGCAATGTCACCACTGCAAGTCCCAGTATGCCGTTATTTTGAGATGCTGTCTCGCAGTCTTTTTCCTCTCTGCCCAGCACCAACAACAACAAAAGCTTTAACAGCGCCATGTTGAAAGCGGTAAATATTACGATAGCGAAGCGAAGCGGTTAAGGGGAATGTGTTAGGAGCTGTGGCAACGCCACTATAGTTTGGGAACAAATATGCAGGTTTTACATATATTAATATAATTTCATGAATTCATTTGTACGTAAATACATAGATACATATGTACCTTATGCCAGGCTAGAGCTCAAAAAAAGTAATTTATTGCTTTATATACAACAAAATTACATAGCCGAAATATCAGTTAAGAACACGCATAGGCACCTACGTAAAACAATTGTTAAAACGAATGCTATGAAATAAATTACTATTCGATATGTACATAAAATACAACGCTTTTAATTATGGTTTTTAATTACAATTGGGTGAACAGTTTTGTTTCCATGTTAGAACGTAAAATTCGATAATCATCGAGCTATTGATAGACCTCGAATTGTCACTCGCAATAGCTAAAATGTACGAAACGAGTAACAAAACAAGTAACTTAATGGCGCCACGGAAACTACTTGAACTAAAATGCGTTAACATTTTAGAATGCTTGAAGAAAGCAAAGTTCCTAAAACTGCCGTCAAAGAGCCCATAATTGTCGACAGTGTTCCTAAACTGTCGTCAAAGTTCCGATAACTGCCAAAAGGACTGGCGGCGCCATCACTTTAAAAAAACTACTGCTGGCCAGATATAATTATATCTTATCGTAAAGTGCAGTAAGGCAGTCCGCCGGTAATGCAGTTTGCGTCAACCTGCCGACCTGCCGATGAGTATGCGGGTCAAATTTAAAATGCAAGTAATTGGGCGTAAAATAAAGATTTCTTTAGCAAAAGAGGAAAACAATGTGTTCAAAAAGGTAACCCAAAAAATATAATGCTCAGCCTCCAGGCTAAGACCTCCCCGGGGTCTAAAGTGTGACAGCTTAGCCTCGTTAAATGGCCATATAACAAAAAGTCAAATGGTGTCACATAAGGGCGTTTTTTTTGCAAAATCACAGCGCAGAGGCAGAAGTAAACAATTAACTGTGCATATTAATGTATGTATGCGTGTGTAGATGATACATTCAGATGGAATGTATTTCAATTCCATATCCATATTAGTTGTTCTCTATGTGTGACGCGGGTTTAACAGTTTAGAGGTTCATTATGCAATAAAGTGATACATACCCGAACTATTTATTGATAGTTGATTGTGCTGCGAATACGCAAAGGCAAACCCGAAAAGAAGCATTTAGGAAAGTGAAATTATCTGTAATAAATATACATATGTGTGTACATGCGCTAAGCTAAGCTAAGTGCCGTAAAAACGTAACGAAAGTAAAGCTTTACCATTATATTAAGTACCAACAAAAAAACACAGGAAATAAAACATAAAATGACAAAGCCATTTAGCCATTAGTCAAGCATACTACTGCCA